ACGGATCGACTGATACGCAACATGACCCTTTCAGGTCAGGTCATGACCTTGACCTGAGGTCAAATTTTCAAGTTGACCTTTCAAGGTCAAGTTATAGTTCATTCGATGCGTCTTGACAAGAGGAACACGATGCCGGTAAAAGTAAGCTCGTGCAAGGCTTGGGTCAAAAGTTATTGCAGAAAAACTGTTTCCAAAAAAATCGGCTATTTTTGCAGTTTTTGCCCCCTGCAGGCAAAACCGTTGATGTTAGGTCAAATCTGAGAGAATTACTCAGAAAGGGCGTTAATAGGGCTATCGAATGCGCTTTTCCGCGGCGCTGTAGCTCTATTGGTTCCCGAGTTATGCGTTGGCATCTTGGAAATTGTCGACATTCGACCTGGAAATCGGCGAAATTTTGCCTTCAATGACCTCTGGTGACCTGACCTTTGACCTAACCAAAAAATTGACCGAAGTGATTTCGTCATTATTTTTGACGCTCTTTCGAACGCCGCCTTCCGCGTATCGCTACGTGGCCCAGGAGCCGAGTTAGAAGGGGGGGGGGTGTTCAGACACCCCCCCCAGCAGGGCGTGGAAATCCAGGACCCCCAGCCGGGCGCGGGTTAAATACTTATCAGGATGGACGATGACGATTGACGGACATAGTGATGTAGAGGAGCGGTGCCACAAGCCGACAGTGATTGTGGACTGTGGAGACGTACCGTACCATTTTAAGAACGTACTCGCTGAGTAATGCAGCGGAAGTGCGCCGACACCTACAATATTCGGTGGTTCTAGGAGGACGGCGGGACCCCACATCGAGCACCCGTGAGCCGTGACCATCGGTTTCATACGGTAACAGTTTGAGGAGCGACTTTATTACGAGGAATACTTTTCAACCGTAGCCTTCCTCCTCTCCCCATCTTAGCCCCTAGACGTTTTACCTGGAAAGAGGGGAGGAGGGCTGAAGGATGGTGTATACTGAGACAGCCCCAACTACAAACAGAGGCTGAAAAGGACGGTGGGAGCCTGGGAGGTGCCCTGTGAGTGTAAGCACATATGAAACGTCTATTCTTTCAGCAACTTCCGGCAGAGGTGATCGGACCAGGTCAGGCCACATATTTATAATGTCGTTCGAGGTGCAGCATAAAAGCGATTTCTTTACCAAATCTGACATTTTTATCGTGATATTGCGTGGTGCTTCGGAATATTAAAGTAACAACTAACAGACAGGTTAAATGGACTTCAGGCTTGAATATGAATTCATATATTTATCTTAACGCTTCAGTTGTTCATCCCAAGGTCACCACAGAAAAGCCTAGAACAGCACTGGGTGCCCCCGCATGTGGCTCATATGTCTTTCAAGCTTCAACCATTCACTTTCAGTGACCCAGGTAAATGCTATTGAGGCGGGCGAATTAACAATCGTCGGCTATTCGATAACTCAGCTCTTGCAAACACGGTAAACGAGACGCCTGTAGCAGACATAAGTTTGGCCCGCTCGCGAGTGAAACATATGGTGGAAGAGCACACTTTCATTAACAAGCTGGGAGTCCTGGATTTCCACGCCCTACGGGGGTTGACCCCCTTCTAACTCGGTTTCTGGGCCACGTAGCGATATGGGGAAGGCGGCGTTCGAAAGAGCGTAAGAAATAATGACGAAATTACCCTGGTCACTTTTTTGGTGTCAAAATTCAGGTCCCCAGAGGTCATTGAAGGCCAAATTTCACCAATTTTCTGGTCGAATGTCGACAATTTACAACAAATGCAACAAGCCAGCGCACAACACGGAAACTAATACACCTAGAGCACCCCAGAAAAGCGCATTTGATAGCCCTATTAACGCTCTTTCTGGACGTTTCTCTCAGATTTTACCCTAACGTCAACGGTTTTGCATACAGGGGGCAATAGCTGCCAAAATAGACTTTAGCGGAAATAGTTTTTTCTGCAATAACTTTTGACTCAAATCTTGCACGAGCCTACTTTTACCGGCATCGTGTTGCTCTCGTTAAGACGCATCGAATCAGGGCCTCCTCTAAGGAATTTTCATTGGGGGGGGGGGGGGGCAGAGGCTCAGAAGCTAAACCTAGGGTACCCTCAAATCCGGTTTTCTCATCGGATTTAGGCCACTTATTTTCCGTCACAGCCCTTATGTCATGATTTTTATTTTTATTTTGAAAAATAAATAAATAAAGAAATAGCAGACAACCTGACCCTATACCGGTGGATACAGACCGGCACGGGCAGGGTGACATTTGGGGATAAATATCCCCCGCAGCGTCCCAAATCGACGGAATTTTTCGGCTTTTCGAAAATGAAACACAATGCCTTTATTAAAAAAGTATTAAACGGCACAGCAGTGCGTAAGGAATCTAACCGACCGCAGAAAGTGTGAGGGCTTAGGTATCGATTTCCCAAATGCCAGAAACCAACAGCTACCTGCCTAAAAACAGCTCACCATCCTTAAAAGTTACTTGCCTGAAAATGACTCAAGAAACAGGCCACAGGTAAATGAAAATGAGGGTCAGGGAAGAGGGTAATTACATTTTCAGGAAATGTGTAGAATAGAAGTAATCACGAGGATACCTACTAAAAAAATTGCCACGCTGGGCCACTTTTTACGCGAGTTATCCGCGAAAGACCTAGGGGTGGGGTCTATCTTACCCCTCAATAAGTTAGAGGGCTTATCGCTGCTAGTCCCAAACACTGGATTTTTTTTTATCGTGCTATAAAGCTCAGCCGCACTCTTATTTGAATGTAGGAAAAATTATTCTTCAAGAATAAATCCGTCTCCCGAAAACAAAACCTCATACTTCTCCGTGTTGAACCGTGAGCGCTTGACTGATTGAGACTATAGAGGGCGACCTTTCGTGCCATTTCCTTCTCAAAGTGATGTTCCTTTCGGGCTTCAGTCGGCGTTCGATTATTAAAATCTGCAATGTCTGACCTCATTCCGCGGCTCATTCTAGGCGGATCTGTAAAAAAACCCTGTAGATAAGAAACGAACGATATCAGGAAACCAAAATTAGTAACGTGGTGATCGTGGAGATTCTGGATTGTTTGTTTGGTAAGCTTTAGTGAAATTTCCTCGTTTTTCGACGTGATTTGCTTAACTGCTTGCCCCCCCCCCCCCCCAGTGACGCGATTTCAGCTCCACTGGGACGGCCAGCGGCATCACTGGGGGGGGGGGGGGGGGGGCAGTTAACATGTTAGAGGAGGCCCTGCGTCCGGCTGAACACATCTAAGGCCTTTTCATCGCTCTAGCATGCCTCTATCAAAAGTAATTCGCGAATAGCTGTTAGATTTGTATTTGTATTTGTATATTTAAAATCGCCAACAGACAATAAGTCCACTTAAAAGGCGAAGTCAAAGAGATACCATTCGTGACCTGATATGACCTCAGAGGCATAAACAGGGGTCACGGCTGCCACTTTCATAATCAGTGTGTCATAGTTACCTGTCATAGTTACAGTGATTCAGTGTTTGAGAGTGGTTAGAATGACGTTTGTCCAAAAGAGACGCCTTTCAATTTTTTCCCCATCGACTTATAATGGGGATTGGGGAGATCGCAAAATTAACCTGACTTTAGGTCACCGATATCAATATTAAGAGATATAAATTTTGTAAATACTGTTGATCTATCGAGCACTGAAAGTTTTAAAGCGATCGGTTCCTCGGTGTAGTTATGGCAGACATTGAAACTTTTTATGAGGTGAGGTCACTTCAAGTGACCTGGTGACCTGACCTTGAGTGACCTTGGCCTGAAATTTCCACAACATATGCAGAAAAGATATATGATAAGGTGTGCCAAAAACGGCGGGGCTCCGCACCGCCGTATTTATAGATATTCACGAAAAACCACAAAGGGAGGGGTGTTCAAAGACCCAGAGCAAGGCGCTGGTATGGTCATTTTGTCATTTATTATAAGGCTTATCCACCATTCAGTGGCTATTACGGCCTAGTCAGTTACATTAATAAAGACAGCATACATTACACGACATAATGAAAAGTAAAGCTTACAAGTCAGTATAAAACCGCAGCGTCAGCCGGGACAAAAATGACGCTCCAGTGGCACCCGGGACGCCGTGCTCGTCACTTCCCGCGGCAGCGCGTTCCATGACACAGCGGCTCTATGAGGGAAGAGCCGCCGTGTCACCGCCATACGGAAACGAGGCGGCTGCAGCACAGCCGCTCCCGCGGCGGTGGCGCGCGTGACACGCTCGGAAGCAGCGCTACGCTGGACAAACATTGTCCTCAGCGACTCTGGGGCAGACGGCACGTGTAGAGCCCGGTACACATTTACCGCGTCGCGCCGCGCGACCACGCTCCTGATGGTGGGCCAACCGAGTGCGTGGAGGGTTGAGGTAATGTGGTCGTTCCGGCGAAGGCCAGATACGAGCCGAGCGGCAAAATGCATTTTCCACGCGTCGGGGAAAGTGTGGGGTTATGGTTAAAGCTATTAGTAAAGTAATTTTGGGTTAAAACGGCATAAGCAATGCTTCCAATCCCGCATAATCTAATGAAAAATGACATGTGCAAGTTTCGTTTTGATATTTCTATAGCAAAGCGTATCTAATGCCAAACAAGAATCTAAACAACATATCGAACCATATCCAATAATATTTCAAAGCATCGACTGCAGCCACCCGGCGGCCTAGGGATGTAAAGCTGCCTTCACGACGCGCTAAATGCAGCCGCCCCTCTACTGTCCGTCGGACGACGCAAGTATGGATACTTGTACTCGCAGTTTGGTGACCCATCGCTAGGTGGCAGTCAGAGATGAAATGTAGGGTTCGCTAGTTATGCACGCGGACCGACGGGCCGTGGGTAGATCGGCAGAGCTGTGCGCCGACCGACCGACTGGGCACGTGTACAGGGGCAGAGCTGTGTGCCGACCGACTGACCAGCCATCTGCGGATCGGCAGAGCCGTGGGTCGATTAGGTGACTCATGACTCACCATGAGTACCCAAATCGGCACCTGTTATGACTCCCCATGTGCAGATGTGCAGCTCTCGTGACTCACCATGTGTAGATTTGCAGCTCGTTGGCCGGCACCTGTCCGCGCGAGTACTCGGCCAGCGAGTGGTGCCGGCCGGTGTTACAAAACACCCGCAGAAGCAGCGGGCAGGTCTGAGAAAAGGTACAGTCAAATGATCAGCGGTCATCATAGCAAAATCGCAGTCATCCAGTAGCCTGCCCACCGTCCAGCAGCTTAGTTTGTCCACCAAACTCGTGGTATGTAGTTAACCCGCGCCCCACTGGGGGGGGGGGGGGGCTATTCATAGCCCTCCTCCCGTTTTTTCTGCAATAACTTCCAAACCACTTGCCGTATCGATGCCAAACTTTCAGTACCTTCGGCTGCATCAATTTAACACCTTGTGTCGAAATATGACCTTCAAAGCTACCATAGGTCGGCCGGAAATGACGTCAGGGTGACGTCATGTTCGGCTGATTTCGACGGAAAACATTGAACTACGGCAATCGCTCCCAACAGCTGAGTTTTGAAGCTAGATCCAATTTCTTTGCATGAGAGGACTCAGAAAAGATTGCGCTATTAAACTGCTATCTCGGATTTTCAAAATTTTGAAAATAATGTGCATTAAAATCAGGGGTGCGGAGCCGGAGCCGGAGCCGCCGGATCCGGCACATTTTTGCCCGGAGCCGGAGACGGAGCCGCCATGACATTTCATCCGGAGTCAGAGCCGGAGCCGGAGCCGATTTTATTTCTCCGAAGCCGGAGCCGGAGCCGAAGCTGTCTGAAATTTCCACGGCTCCGCATCCCTGATTAACATTGTACATGCTGACGCATTATTAGTGTACACAAAATTTATCCACTATAGTCAATGAGCAAAATAAAATTCACAATCCATCTGAACCAATGTGGAAAGTGGAAACTGGAAGTCAGTCACAAATTGGATTACGCTCTTAGCCCGACGAGAAGGGGGGGGGGGGAGGGAGGGGGAGTGAAGTCATGTTCGGTCGAAATCGACCGAACATGACGTCACTATGACGTTATTTCCAACCGATCTATGGTAGCTACGAGGTTCATATTTTGACACAAGGTGTCAAATTGAAACAGCCGAAGGTACTGAAAGTTTGGCGTCGACACGTCTGGCGGTTTAGAAGTAATTGCAGAAGAATGAGAGGGAGGGGCTATGAGTAGCCCTGGTATGTTAGGAATCACTACTCAGTACTCACCTTTTCTCTGTCAATGGGCTTCTCAGGCTCATGCTGTTTCTCCTCCACCTTCGATCCAAGTAGACTGGCCATCATCTTTGCAAGCTTTTTTGTTTACACTTGATGTAGAATATAAGTGTCTATCTCTATGTATATATCAACAACCTGCAACATAATTGTAATTCAAATTCTGGGAACATCAATGATAGTAAAATTATCAAACACATCCTTGCTGGATAGTTCAATTTAGGTACCTATATAATTTTTTTTTTGAAGCAGGTCTATGAAATTTAATTATTGATTGGAAATTGCTGGAATATGTATTCATGACAGTCCAAATCAAGGGTGAACAAAACCTGATTAGGTACTGCACACTGAATAACAAGACTGAGACTGTTGAGATCCTGTTCCATCCATATCAATTGGATAAAGCTTAACACAGCATGAGGCCAACATCATCACAACATCACAAACATATCCAGCTGGGGTTACTTTTTCATCTAACATCAGCAGTTGTTGACCATTAGCTTTGCTGGCTAATGAAAATATATCTGCTGATCTGAATAAAAATATCTGCCAACCTATGTGTCTCTCATATAAAAGACATCCTTTTGGGTTTGGCATGGCTGGTGGTACATTCAAATGACTTTTGGCTAATAGATATGACAGCTGGATACCTATATATTTTATGTTAGTAAAATTGGTCTCTGATCTGACAATATCCAATTTAAATCCCAGGAAATAAATGCATATTTCTAAATATATATTTATCCTGATGTGTTGAAGTCACCTCTGGCTCAGAGACTATGTGTCTTGCAAATGGAATGCAAATTAGAACTATGGCACTATTTTACATGCCCCGGCCTCAGCAACAGAAAAAAAGCCGAAAAATCCCAACAAAGTGGCCTTGTGGGACTCCTCGACGTATAACCTGGGATAAAGGCAAATATCCAGTCCCCAAAGCCATTTTGATACAATGAGTATCTATGAAAGGCAGCAATAAATTGTACTTATAGCAATATCAATAATTATATTAGTTCCCTTAGTTCAAAGACTAAGACTGAGACGGAATCAGGATGCATCCCTACACATGCTGATGCAGTCCTGGGATCTCATTGACATATTCCGGTATTGTTCATTATAATCATCCAATAAATGATAATTGAAAAATAAAATAATAAATTTTAATGATCAATTCCGTTAAATTTCATTGAAAAACAGAATAACCTCGAAAGTCGAAACTGACCGGTGCCCACAAACACAACACGACATAAGCACTACGGGTATGGCGCAACAGTTTCAATTAAAGGGCTGTTCAGGTGTTCTTAGATGACGAAACAATCGACGATTCTTACAGTTCTCGATGCTCATTGGTTTACTTTCTGCTCCACACGCTATTTAGAGCGTCGATGTTCTGTGGTGAATAGGTTTTTCAGCGTTGCGGTGAATTACTGAAAAGCTTCTAGTTATTACTCTTTTCGCCCCACGGTGAGCATGAGATGATGAAAATTGGGACACTCGGGAAGTAATTTGCTGTTTCGTTGCCATAGCAGGGATCTTGATCTAAGCATTTGTCCAATAGGATTGTTTTGGGGCCTCTGTGAGTTGTGACTGTCAGTTTTAGTTGGTAAAGCTGTTCTCAATTTCACCAGCTGTTCCCATTCTTTCGTCGCTTTCAGCCGTGTTTGTAATAAGATAAATGATGGTTTACCAGCTAAGTACTACCATATAGTAGAATAAAATGGTGCAATAGGAATCTCTCCTTGCTTACACATTTCCTGTTATTTTTCCATCAGACCATGTCAGACACCAAAGATTCAGCAGCTGCAGGTCCGGCTGGTCCCGAGGGGGATGCTCCTCCCAAAACGGCCAAACAGCTGGAGAAGGAAGCCAAGAAACAGGCTAAGCTTGACAAACTCAAGCAGAAACAGGATAAACTTGCAGAAAAGGCTTCTAAGCCCAAGGACAAGAAGGACAAACCTGAGGTGAGGGACAGGGTACTGAAATAGATACAGAATAATGGCCATACTCAGTGTGTAGATGCTGACCCTATTCCTTTTGTAGCCAATTGCTGTAGTTCAGCTTAGTGTTTATATCTGCTGGCCACTTTTGGAATAAAGCTGTCATTGCTTAGGGGTAGGTATCACTAAGTTTTCAGCATTACTAGCCATGTTTGCTTTAGTCCCCTGCATGTTTTGGATACTGGCTGGTAAATACTGCTGCATCCGAGGCTCAGTGGAAAAGGATATCATAGGATATGACTGATCATATGACAATAGGGTGTGCACTGTACAATATCATGAGTGAGGTGGCTAATGTTGTCATCAAACTTGGGTCAGTCAGGTAGCCCATTTAATAGCTTCTAGACCTCAGCTCTGCTGTGCAAAGGCAAAAACTACTATGTGAGGTCAGAGGGGCCTGGGGTAATGGCCTATGACCTGAAATAGTAGTTGTTGCCTTTGTACAGCAGAGCTGATGCTGGTTGTTCCATACAGGTAACATGAGGCCTTTTCTGCTGTCAGCAGGTGTCACAAATCCGCCTGCTGAACGACTTGTACCCTCACCTGCCATCACCCACAAGTGTCGCGCACCTTTGTGTTCAGTCACCCACCCCTGCCCCTCCTCAGAGCAAGCGCCCGGAGCGTCCGGCCGGCGTGACGACGTACGACGTCGAGACGCCGGCCGGCGAGCGCAAGGACACGACGTGCGCACTGCCGGACGCCTACAGCCCCCAGTACGTGGAGGCCGCCTGGTACGACTGGTGGGAGAAGCAGGGATTCTTCTCACCCGACTATGGCGTAAGTGGCCAACGCCGGCGGTTTCCCGAGTCCGTCCGGCAGAATCGCAGTAAGCCGCTTATTTTGCGTGGCATGACTGGGCTGATAGTCACCCAGTCATTCAATTTGGGAACTATCCTTACTATTTGATATCTTTGCTAATATTGAATGAACGACAGGCAGGCTGTAAGTTTGTCATTAGAAACCTTGCAAATGTCCATAACCTGGATGGATGTTTTGTCATCCTCTGCATACTGTTTGGTCTCGGATTTTGACGGATCGTTGCTGACATTTTCAGCGTAAGCCGGGCGAGGTGAACCCGAAGGGTCAGTTTGTGATGGTCATTCCGCCGCCGAACGTGACTGCCAACCTGCACCTGGGGCACGCGCTCACCAACTCTGTGGAAGACGCCATCACACGCTGGTGAGAGACAGTCATACGCATCGCTGTTATATCGGTATAGCACAATTACTGCAGTACGGTCTCGGACGGTAGTTCCGCCAATTTACTTCTTCGTCTTTGCTTTGCACAATATAAATTTTATCGTCAACTGGTATGGATTTTTATGAATTATTCACAGATTCGCTCGCGGCTGGTTTTTTGTTAATTCACCCGAAAACTTCAACAAATATAAAAGTGAATGGAGTAGGGTGTATGCTAACTCCATTCACTGGTCTATCCTCTCCCCTTACCATTGTACCGACCGACACCCCGATTATCACTGTCGCGTTTGTTTCACTAAAACGCCTTGTCCGTCACCAGGCACCGTATGAAGGGACGCAGCGCGCTGTGGGTGCCTGGCTGCGACCACGCCGGTATCGCCACTCAGGTGGTGGTCGAGAAGCGACTGATGCGCGAGCAGAAACTCACCCGACATGACCTGGGCCGCGACAAGTTTGTCGAGAAGGTCTGGGAGTGGAAGAACGAGTGAGTGAACTCGGGGCAGCTGGATGGGCTCCTTGGGGATTCATAATGTCAATGACGCTTCTGCTTTTTATTGTAACGTCCATGTACTGTTCGATTATATGCGCTGCTTTCTCTTGAAACCACGACTTATTTTATTATCAGGCTGTATTCGTCTCCCTGTTATCGTCTTCCTATGACAAAGGTTATCTTTAGAGAAGCTCTCATTGGCCTTTTCCACTCAAGAGTACAGCACGATTTCTGTAACATACACCTAATGAGCGCTATTCCCGACCAGTCACCCCCCCCCCCCACGCCGCTCACACCGTCTCCCCCTTCCTCGCCAGGAAGGGCCACCTGATTTACGAGCAGCTGCGCCGGCTGGGCTCGTCGCTGGACTGGTCGCGCGTCAGCTTCACCATGGACCCGATGCTGGCGCGCGCCGTCACCGAGTCGTTCGTGCTGCTGCACGATGAGGGCGTCATCTACCGCAGTCTGCGGCTCGTCAACTGGAGCTGCTCGCTGAAATCGGCCATCTCCGACATCGAGGTCGGTCGGCCCGCCTGCCGCGGGCGAGAGGGATCGTATGGTGGGGATAGAATGGCTAAGAGTGACCTGAAGCATTGCAGGGCTTACCGTTGTGATTTTCCACCGTGGCTAGCAGGGATGCGGAGCCGTGGAAATTTCAGACGGCTCCGGCTCCGGCTCCGGCTCCGGAGAAAAAAAATCGGCTCCGGCTCCGGCTCCGGCTCCGGGTGAAATGTTATGGCGGCTCCGGCTCCGGCTCCGGCTCCGAGTAAAATGGTCCGGCTCCGGCGGCTCCGGCTCCGGCGGCTCCGGCTCCGACTCAGTATGTACATCTCCTATGCAATCAATTAAATACGGGTGGAAGAAAAATTGGATTGGTACACGTAGCTTCTGTATTTGCATAACAACTAACATCTAAGGCTATTTTTCTCAACAGCACATGCAATCAGCGAACAGGGTATATAAGCACGTGGCGAAATGTTATGACTATACGGCCGCGTTACTCTTTGCCATGACCGGCTCACCGCGTCCCCGCGCAAACGCACCTCGGAGAGAACTGGCAGAACAAGACTAGAAAGCATTGGAAAGGACATTGGAAACGCAGTCGCCGCGAATCGGAGTTCACTGAACCATCGTAAGCTGACACCCGTCTCGGCTGCATTGGGGGGTGGGGGTGTGTGTGGGGGGGGGGGGGGGGTGGTCGGTGGGGTGGGGTGGGAAGAGACGGTGTTGGGAGTCGCAGTCCACTGCACTGGCTTCAAAACAATGGCCGTCACCTGATGACCGGTCCTCATGTTCTGGGGATGCAGTAGACGTGGGGGGGGGGGAGGAGCAGACAGGAAGTTGATTGCGTACTGTGGGATGCTGGGGATATTCGGCTTTTTTCATTCACTTGATGGCCCATGACGTATTTACCATATGTTTTACTGCCTTATACTGTCAAACCGAACTACATAGGTCAATTATTTTTTTTCCTCTTCAAATAATAAAAAGGAGCCGGAGTCGCCCCCTTTTTTGGCGGCTCCGGCTCCGGCTCCGGCTCCGGGCTATATTGTTTCACGGCTCCGGCTCCGGCTCCGGCTCCGGGCAAAATATGCCGGCTCCGGCGGCTCCGGCTCCGACTCCGGCTCCGGCTCCGCATCCCTGGTGGCTAGATCCCCCCGTAAGATGCTTTTTTTTTGTTTCATGGCAACTCAAAAACCTGTACTTTTTCCAAAATGCGTACGCACGATTTTCCTTGCACTGCATCGGTGTCAGTTTGGTCGGCTTCCGATGTTCCATTCTGGATTCTCAGTTCTCACCCACTGCCCGGCCACACCGCCGCCCTGTGCCGACCGTGGCTGACCGCCCCCCCCCCCCTCCTCAGGTGGAGAAGCGGGAGCTGCCGGGCCGCACCCTGCTCTCGGTGCCCGGATACAAGGAGAAGGTTGAGTTTGGCGTGCTGGTGTCGTTCGCCTACCGCGTGGAGGGCACTGACGAGGAGCTGGTGGTGGCCACCACTCGCGTGGAGACCATGCTCGGCGACACGGCCGTAGCCGTACACCCGGACGATAAGAGGTGAGACACCGCGGACAGAGGGAAGGAGGGGACTGGCGCCGGTGCCGGATGGGTGCATCGGTGGGAATGAGATATTGGTGAATCTGTCCTGTATTACGTCCGTGGCTTGTATGCTGAGGTCTCAAAGGAGTTGAGTGGTTTGGTGTCGCAACTCGCAACTGTATGTGTTTGCTTATAAAAGTAATTATTTTACGTTATGTTCGAAAGGATGTAGATCCAAGCTGCTGCTCCAGTTCGCTACCTTTCGCTCTCGGTATGCGCCATCACCCGCTGTCTCACCAGGTACGCACACCTGCACGGCAAGTTTGTGACGCACCCGTTCGTCGAGCGGCGCCTGCCCATCGTCTGCGACTCGTTCGTCGAGATGGAGTTCGGCACGGGGGCCGTGAAGATCACGCCGGCACACGACCCCAACGACTACGAGGTCGGCAAGCGGCACAACCTGCCCTTCCTCACCATGATGACCGACGAGGGGCGCATCACCGACGACTGCGGACAGTTCTCGGTTAGTACTGCGCGGGTATGGGGGCGGGAGGGAGGCTGCGCTAGCGAAAGCCTCCGATGAGTGAAAGGAACGCCCAGATAATGATGTGCAGAGAGATTGCCAACCTGAGCTGCGGGCAGGTAGGGTGTTTTTCTGTCGGGTTTTTGTTTCGGACAAGATGGCTGCCGCGGCGGGTCCGCTCACGATGAAAAACTGTACCGTGAGAGCGGTGGTAGCGGGCCGCACGGTGACGGCCCTAATTATGCGGTCGGCCCGTCACGGTCGGCACGCAGTGGTGCGAGCGACTGGGCCACACAGCTGGCGCGGCGCGCAGTGGTGCGGGCGACTCGGCCGTACAGCTGTACGTCTCTGGGACGTAGGTCAATGGGTTCGCCTGAATCGCACCTGGGATCGATTCAGTCACTTGAATCGATCCCGCCGCTGTCTTCTCACTTACCCACTCCCACTGACAATGCCATGTCCATTGCCCACATCGGTTTATTCTTGTCGTATATCGACATTTCTTTATAATGGTACGTAGTCATTATTTGCAAAATGTGTTACTAAATGCAGCACTTAGATCATAACGTACCCTGGAATTGCTGTGTTCGTTATTTAGGCGATGATTCTTAGCAAACGCCCTTAGATGAATTTACGAATTGACGTACTTGTTTCCGCGCAGGGCATGCCGCGTTTCGAGGCGCGCCGCGCCGTGCTGGCCGCCCTGAAGGAGAAGGGCCTATACAAGGAGACCAAAGACAACCCGATGGTGGTGCCCATCTGCACGCGCTCCAAGGACATCATCGAGCCGCTCATCAAGCCGCAGTGGTTAGTGCCCCTCTGCCACCGAAGGCACTCGGGCGGTCGTGGGATTTCAGCGAGTTGGATCGATTTGTACTGCTAATTGTTTGGTGATAGGGGATGGCCTGCTGGTTCAGCTCAAAACTTATTAATACTGATTTGTATTTGTGATGGAAAGTAATTAGTAGTATCCGTTGCAGATCCTCCGTCACCTCACTGCCGCCCTGTCCGCCCGCAGACCCGCCGTGCCTGTCTGTTGACCTTCCCTCCATCCGCCCTCAGGTACGTCCGCTGCGACGAGATGGCCGCCGACGCGATGGCCGTGGTCAAGTCAGGCGAGCTGCGCATCATCCCGGAGGCGCACGAGAAGACCTGGTTCCGGTGGATGACGGACATCCGCGACTGGTGCATCTCGCGCCAGCTGTGGTGGGGCCACCGCATCCCGGCCTACTTCGTCACCGTCAGCGACGACAGCGTGCCGCGCGGCGAGGTGCGTCCATAGGGGAGCGGCGACGGGAGGTTTGACAGAAGTAGCTGCTACTGGGTTACCAGCTAGACTGGATAGTGGATAGTTGACGACTGAGATGTTTCCCTCTAAAGATATGAATGTAAAAGCTGACCTGACGTAGCTGCTTCTCTCATGAGACGGACGCTATCTTTACTCCAGGAGACGGACGGCAACTACTGGGTGAGCGGCCGGACTAGACCTACTACCTGTACGTCTGATAACAAACCTATCGTTACTCCAGGAGACGGACGGCCACTACTGGGTGAGCGGCCGGACCGAGGAGGAGGCCCGGCAGAAGGCGGCCGCCCGGTTTAACGTCCCGGCCGAGAAGGTGGCGCTGCGCCAGGACCCGGACGTGCTCGACACCTGGTACAGCTCGGCGCTGTTCCCGTTCTCCGTGTTCGGCTGGCCCGACCAGGTGAGTCCAACTCAGCTGGAGAAGTCGAAATCACCAAGGAGAGTCGAACGGGTTATCCAGAATTGGAGGATCAAAAGCATGCGATAGCATGCTTTTGCATTGCAGTGAGTGAGTATGTGAGTTTGTCCAAGCTTTTTTGGACCTGGAGTCAAAATGGGTGGACCGATCGGGACGAAAGTGGGACCGTTTGATTCGTCTCCGGCGAGGTAAACTTTTGGTGCTGGCCTCGGTTCGCTCGGTGCTTCGTGGCACATGCTATTCCGCTTCAAAGTTTCGGTGACACGAAATTTTTTGTCAAGGCTACAGGTCAACCCGAGGTCACGGGCAAAGCCATACTGGCGGGACACATCGGTAACACCTTGAACCAGTTTCCAGGGGGGTCACCGTCTGCGAGGGGTGCAGGCTGCACGTGCTGGGGTCGGAAAACCGTTTTGACGTGAGGTCCTCTGGCTCAAAGAAATTTTAAGCTATCAACCTCAAAATCGGTACAATGGTAGTCCCAGGCAAGGCCTCCAAAATAATGCACATTTCATTGGGCTATGGATCCTCCAATTCTGGCCCAAGGCAACGCACGAGCGCTGCCGGCATCTAGTTTAAACTCATCCCGGGGCTCAGGTTAACAGGTGCCCGCCGCCGGCACGCCCCGGTCAAAATGATTCAAGGAGTACCAATTACCAAATCATGATGTGTATGCGATCATATTTGTCCAAATATCTCGGAACTCAATCGGTAAACCAATTTTTTTGCATTGTCTCCAAGTTTTTCTCTCCGGCCACACTAAGCTCAGATTTGTTCGACTCCGCCAGACGGAGGACCTGAAGCGGTTCTACCCGACCTCGCTGCTGGAGACGGGACACGACATCATCTTCTTCTGGGTCGCCAGGATGGTCTTCTTCGGCAGGAAGCTGCTTGGAAAACTGCCCTTCAAGTGAGTGAATAGATATACCGAATTGTGTCAGAAGCTTCATCGATATGCTGAAAGCCAGGCATGATTTTTTTTTTAAAGACTGCAAATAATTCCCATGAGCTTACTAGACAAGTTTTCAACATTACGTCAATTCTGTTACCCTCCCCGGTGATTCCCTCGTTAATTGATCTGTTACTACTCTTCAGGGAGGTGTACTTCCACGCGATGGTGTGTGACGCGCACGGCCGGAAGATGTCCAAATCGTTGGGTAACGTCATCGACCCGCTGGACGTCATCCGCGGCATCTCACTCGAGGTGAGCACTGAGCAGTGAGCACTGAACAGGGACGGCGAGCTCAGCTGCGGCAGCGCGGTGTGAAACAAAGGGAGGTAATCGCACACGGCGAGACTCTGGGGATAAACTGAGCGACTTGTGAGGTAAAGTGAAACTGTGCGAGCTACAGTGAGCTATTCTCGCACGGTGAAGAACCAGGAGACACGCTGTCGTACAGTGAGAAGCGCGGTTTCTGACGCCCGCTGCCCGTGCGTCCGCCAGGGTCTGCACAAGCTGCTGCAGGAGAACACCAACCTGGACCCTGCCGAGGTGAAGCGCGCCATGCAGGGTCAGAAGGAGGACTACCCCAAGGGCATTCCCGAGTGCGGCACCGACGCGCTCCGGTTCGCCCTCTGCGCCTACACCACACAGGGTACGTGTCATAACAGGCGGCGGGGGATGGTTACCGCTCCTGTTCGCCCTCTGCGCCTACACCACGCAGGGTACGTGTGATAATAGGCGGCGGGGGATGGTTACCGCTCCTGTTCGCCCTTTGCGCCTACACCACGCAGGGTACGTGTGATAACAGGTGGCGGGGGATGGTTACCGCTCCGGTTTGCCCTGTGCGCCTACACCACGCAGGGTACGTGTGATAACAGACAGTGTTTGTTTTGTTTTGTTGGGTTAGGCCCTTCCGGTCTGACGAGACCATTTCAAAGCCGGAAGGATGATAGGAATTAGGGGGAGACATTAGTCTGGGCAGGCACCCTAGTGAGTCACCGGGGCTGAGCCCGTCCAGAGGACAGGCCACCCAGCCGCAAGGTACTCACTGCACCCGGCTACGGGGTGCACTCCCTCGGGAGCAGCGGTGCCGCTCCAAGGGAGCAGCCCGCATGAGATAAAGGTGCCTGTCCAGCTCGGAGAGGGAGTTGCGGCGTGGAGGAGAAGGATTTCAGTATCCTGAGGATATAAGCACGGAACGGCGTAGACAGTGGGGGCCACATAGCTACTGACCCCGGTTTTTGTTTGTTTGTTTTGTTTTGTTGGGTTAGGCCCTTTCGGTCTGACAAGACCATTTCAGGGCCGGAAGGATGATAGGAATTAGGGGGAGACATTGGTCTGGGCAGGCACCCTAGAGAGTCGCCGGGGCTGAGCCCGTCCAAATGGACAGGCCGACCAGCCCCCCAAGCACTCTCTGCACCCGGCTACGGGGTGCGCTCCCTCGGGAGCAGCGGTGCCGCTCCAAGGGAGCAGCCCGCATGAGATAAAGTTGCCTGTCCAGCCCGGAGGGGTGTTGCGGCGTTGGGGAGAAGGATTTCAATATCCTGAGGATAGAAGCACGGAACGGTCCATTGACCCCGGCCGGAGAGATATGTGCTTAGTCATGGGTCTATCGTGTTTAATGTGTTTCATTTCTGTAGGTTCTGAAGGTTATTAGTCTATGATAAATTTTATGACCGTCTTGAAACTTGTCTTGCCTTTCTGCTGCACCTCACCGTTTCCCCGCACACCCGTCTGGTGTGGAACTGTCGTGCCGGAGTCGTATCGTGTGTGTGCTGCTGCGGCGCTGACAGTGCCATCTACCGGCAGGTCGGGACATCAACCTGGACGTGTTGCGTGTCCAGGGCTACCGCTTCTTCTGCAACAAGCTCTGGAACGCCACCAAGTTCGCCATGCTGTACCTGGGAGACGACTTCCGGCCTTCGGAGCAGCTGCCGGCAGCCGGCGGGGGAGAGGTGGGTGACCCGGTCCGTCGGGCTATCGGCTTTTGGGGCAGTTTGGCTGTGTTAAAACTTTTAAGGGTTTGCGGTGCTGTACCTGGAATGTACGATTGGCGGTGGTTAATTTGGTTGTTTTGGGATTTATGGTGGCCATATCCTTTTTGTATATGACTTGGTGAGAATTTGTGTGATTTGAATGCGCAAAGACGACATCGTTTGCCTTATTTGGTGCGCTTTAGGGTCGGGAGCTCAGTAAGTGCTCAGTAAGCTCAGTAAGCCAGTGACCCAGGTGCGGGCGTCCCGTGCCCGCAGTGGTATGTGGTTCAGGGCTGCGTTTAGGGTATGGGTGGGACACTGGCCGGGTGGTGAGCTCCCCGTGCTGGCTGTGGTCTCTGGCCGCAGGTTAGGGTAGCCGGGCACTAGCCGGGTGCTGAGTGACCCGGTCCCGCACTGGTCTGAGGTCTTGGGCTTAGCTGAGGGTTAGGGTACCAGCGGGATGCAGAGTGCTCCAGTCCCGCAGTGGTCCCAAGCCACGGGTTAGGGTGGGTAGGGTACCGTTTAGGATACAGCTGGCCGGGTACTGAGCGGCCCACAGTGGTCCCAGGCTGCGCGTTAGGGTAGGCCGTAGGGTACTGGGTACCGGTAGGGCACTGGCTGTTTGCTGAGCGGCCCGGTTCGGCAGTGGTCCGAGGCCGCGCTGGACGCCCACCTGACTGAGCACAGCTACGTGGGTGGCTGGCGGCCGACGGCGGCCGACGCGCGCCTCTGCCGCCGCCTGCGCGACGCGCCGCGGCCACCGGCGGCCGTGCGCCGCTGGCGGAACCACGTGGCCGCGCTGGCCGACGAGTGGCACACGTGGCCGGCCGAGGTGAGGGTGGGACACGTAGCGGGTCTCCTGTGATTTGTCCAGGGCCGCGCGGATGGCTGAACTAACACAGGCCGGTGGTTCAGTCGTCCGCAATCTGCTTTATCGACTAGTCAGTTACCTTATGTTGTGGTGCATGCCTCGATGTGTCTTGGGTTTTGTATTGGTCCTAATCGCAGCTTGGGGCTTAGCTGGCAGTGTGCTTGTTTAGGCTGCCGTTTTAAGCATGCTTCGTCGCTTCTGCATTTATTTATGAAGCGGGTCATGCGTGCGTCCCTGTCGAAGCGGTTCTCAATAATCATTGTGTGCCAAACGTCACGTTTTGTGTGGGTGTTTTGCTTGTAGCTTTACACCAGGAACATGGAACTGGTGCGCTTATCGATTGTGGGTTTGTTTTGTTTTAACACATTGTTGTGCCCTCGGGGTGGGGGAGGTTTGGACAAACCTGCGTCCGCCTCACTTGCGGTTTATTCCCCCACACACACAACAGAAAAACACATGGCACTATCTCGGCCAAGGTCAAGAACGGAAGAGCTCTAGAGGTGACTCGACACCTCTTCGTCCTTACGACCCAAAACAGTTGGCAATCATAAAGAGAGGGGGTGAACAGGTTATGCGAAATAAAGGATCGAAACTGAACAAAGCCATTTCGAACCAAACATATTACTAACTAAGTGTCGATCGTAATATAAAATCATAATCACCGCAACGACCAACACTATCAACAAAGGCGTAAAACTCAAACGATAATTGCGCGTCCGCGCCAATCGGCTGCGCGGTCAGCGCCACTAAATTAGTTCTCGCCACAACACCACCCCTCTCTTTAATGGGAAACACTCCCGCTTCTTAAGCCTCCCACTATCCGCGGAAACCATTACACTCACAGCTATCAAACGTAACTTACGATGATAGCCCAATCCTAAACGCTACTCGCCCGGAGTGAACCGATCTGGGCCTCTGCGACCCCGCCTGCTACGGCGGGGCCCTGGCTCACCCGCCGGGGCGGTACACTTTGGGGTTGGACAGCGGCTGTGAGCAGGACTTCTGAGTGCCGAGGAGCGGGTGCGCACTGGCGTGGGGCGGGGCTCAGGAACTGGATAAGCACCACCGCCGGGACCACCCCGCGGCGCGGCCGCGTCCTCACCTTCTGGCCGGCCGGGCACCAAGCGTCTAGCGTGGACACGCTCGCCGCTGGTGAGCCGGTAACTTACCGGGCCAGTCCTCCGGCTGATCTGCACGGCCCTCTGGCCCTCCACACGCCCACTCACCGGCTGTCGGACCCGAACCCAGTCGCCGACGCGCCAGCGCGGGGCGCCAGTCGACCCCCGGTCATATCTGGCTTTGTAGGCCGCCTGATACTTTTCGTGTCGCGCACGAAGCTCACCGCCGGTGTCCGGCGAGGAAACCTCACCTGGCACGACGTCCAGCAACGTCCGTGCCTCCCGCCCCCGCATCAGCCGGAACGGCGTCTCTCCCGTACCTGCGTGCGGGGTAGCCCGGTACTCAGTGAGGAACCGCCTCAAGTACTCCGAGCGCGGCTCCCGGGCCAGCCGGGCCGACTGGATGGCGTCTTTTACCGTCCGATTCAGACGCTCCACCATGCCGCAGGACTGCGGAGAGTATGGTGAGCTGAAAGTCTGCTTGACCCCCAGTCGGGTCAAAAAATTACGGAGTTGGGCAGACCGGAACGCTGGACCGTTGTCGGAGACCAGCTCCAACGGCAACCCCTCGCGGCTGAACACCGCCTCCAGGAAGCTGATTATAGACGCCGCCGTCGCGTCCCGACACAGCGCCACCTCTGGCCACCTGCTGAACATGTCGCACAAGACGATGCCGTACCGCTCGTGCTGGGGCCCCTGCATGGGCCCAATCACATCGATCATGAGGCGCTGCCACGGACCGTCCGGAAGAGGAATCGGCTGGAGAGGGGGCCGCTCCTGCCGCACGTGGCCGTCATGCTGCGTGCACACCTCACAGCTCCGCAGGAGGTCACGTACCTCCTTGTCCAGCCGCGGCCACCAGAACTGCGCGCGCAGGCGCTGCTTGGTCCTTGTCTCACCTTGGTGACCCTCGTGGGCGTTCCTCAGGACGCGCTCACGCAGCGCCGCCGGCACAACCAGTCGCTCGCCGCGGAAAAGCAGCGGTCCGAGCTGGGACAGTTCGTCTCTCACCTGGTAAAAACCAGTCGCCCGAGGATCGACATCCCTCTGGCGAGGCCACCGTCCGGCGAGGTACCCCCGGATCACGTCCAGACACTCGTCTGACGCCGAGGCGTCCCTCAGCTCCTCCTCCGTGACTGCTGCTGCTAACGACAGAGCCGCGATCTGGATAGAATCATCATCAGGCCACCAGGTCTCGGCGACCGGCAGACGGGACAGGCCGTCCGCCACTCCGTTCCGCTCCGACCTGACGTACTCGACGTCGAACGCAAACTCCAGCAGCCGGGCCTCCCACCTCGCGACTCGCCGGCCGACGCGGTTGGAGCCCTTGACACCGAAAATGGTGCAGAGAGCTTGGTGATCGGTTCGGAGGGTGAATCGCCGACCCCACAGGTAGTGGCGAAACTTCTCGACGGCCCATACACATGCCAGCGCCTCCTTCTCCACTACCGAGTAGTTGCGTTCGGCCGCCGAGAAAGACTTCGAGGCGTACGCAATGACCCTGGGCTGACCCGAGGCGTCCATTTGCGTCACGCACGCACCGCAGCCGACGTCACTGGCGTCAGTGGAGAGCACCGTTCGTAGCTCCGTGCTGAACATGCACAGTGCTGGTGCTTCGCTTATCGCGTCCTTGACGCGGCGGACCGCGCTGGACAGCGCCGCCGTCCACTCGAACTGGTCCGCCCGGAGCGCGGCCCTCAGCGGCTCTACTGCGTCCGAGAACCGCGGCAGAAACCGCGCATGGTACCCTACGGCACCGAGGAATGCGCGCAGGCTCTTTTCGTCCCGCGGCTCGGCCGCCTCCAATAACGGCCTGATCCGCTCCCGGTCGATGCGGACACCAGCTGACGAGACCAGATATCCCAGAAAGGAGAGCTCGCTCTGATTCGTCACGCTCTTGGGCCAGTTGACCCGCACCTTGTGGGCATCGAAACGCCGCAGCACTTCCCTCAGACGGGCGTCGTGCTCGGCCTGGGACGGCGCGTGGACCAGGATGTCGTCCAGGTATACCTCCACGCCTGGCACCCCCTCCAGCATGGACGCCATCACTCTCTGGAAGCACGGCCCGGCGCTCGCGAGGCCGAAGTTGACGCGCCGGAACCGGTAGAGTCCCTGATGACTTATAAAAGTCGTTAGGTCTCTGCTGTCAGGATGGAGCTCCAGCTGGTGATATGCATCCTTTAAGTCCAGCCTGGAAAAGACCTGAGACCCACTCAGGCGGTCAAGGACATCTTCGATCCTGGGGAGCGGGTAGCCATCCGTAATCACAGCTTTGTTGACCCGCCTCATGTCTACACACAGGCGGATGGACCTATCCCGCTTCCTTCCCACCACAAGAGGAGAGACCCAGGTAGATGCACTGACCTTCTCAATTATCCCTTGCTCCTCCAGCTCCTTGAGCCTGGCACTCACCTCGTCCAGCACTGCCAAGGGCAGCCTCCGCAGGGGCTGGCGCACTGGCGCCACCCCTGGGTCGATGGTCACCCGGTGTTGGTAGCCCAGGACGGCTGGCTGCTCTCCTGACGGAGAAGCAGGTCCAGTCGGAGAGGCAGGTTCGGACGGTGAGGCAGGTTGACCGGCGTGAGGGCTGGCAGGTTCGGCTGGCCCGACGGGCGAAGGGACTGGGCTGGCGTGACAGGACGGGTCTGTGGACACAGAGCATACACTGTCACCAATGATGCACACTTTGAACAGTTTCATCATGTCCAGGCCCATCAGAGCACGACCATGCGGCACAACATACACAGTTACATCATGACACTCCCCCCTGCATGACACATTTACACTTTTTACCCCTAACACATCTAACACACTCCCCCCATATGAGCACAGGCGCTCTGCTGCTGGCTCAAGGGCCCCAGGTGCCAGGTGTCTGGGGAGGAGGGACACTGGGGAGCCAGAGTCTACCGTGAACACGACCTCCCTCCCCTCCACCTGGGCTGTCAGAGTCATTGGTGATGCCCCGATTGCCAGCACTTGAACACTGGACACCACTCGCTTCTGGACACAGTGCTGGGCAAAGTGATTCACTTTCCCACATTTGGAGCACTTCACATTGACAGCAGGGCAACACTGGTCCCCTCGCCTGTGTCCAGCACGCCCGCACCCCCAGCACAGGCTACTGCTACTCCCTGCCGGCCTCTGCTGCTGAGGCTGTTGCTGATGAGTGGAGACCCGACCAGCAGCACGGGTCCTGGCCCCACCACGCTGAGGCCGCCGACGCTGCTGCTGCTGCTGCTGGACAGCCTGAACAGGGACTGGAGCAGCTGGTGTCTCCATCACCCGAGCCTCACGTTCAGCCGACTCAAGTGTGTCACTGATGGTGAGGGTGCGCTCCAAAGTCAGGTCAGAGCCCTCCATAAGAAGTCGCTGTCGCAACTTGGAAGAGTTAGTACGCTCGATGACCTGGTCCCTTATGAACTCGTCGGTTCTGTCACCATATTCACAGGAGCTGGCCAGCTGGCGCAGTATCGACACCCACTGCTGGACTGTTTCCTCAGTTTGCTGCACCCGGCTCCTGAAACGGTAACGCTCCACACACACGTTCTGGCGAGGAGCGAACTGGGCCTCCAGGCGCCGCCTGGTGAAGGCGTACTGGTCCTCGCCTTCCTGCTTGACAGCAGCTGGGAGGGACTCGAAAATTCGCTGCCCCTCCGCCCCCAGGCACGTGAGAAGGATGGCCTCCTTGCGCGCAGCTGAAAATGAGCCGCCGCCCACGGCCACCAGGAAGTTATCGAACATCCTTATCCACCGCGGCCAGGCCGTACCGGGCTCGGCGCCGGCCGCCGGCAAAAACGGCGCAGGGGCCACCGAAAAATCCATGGCCGACAGTTATCACGGCCGCGTAAAAACTTACGCCTCGTCGCCACTTGTTGTGCCCTCGGGGTGGGGGAGGTTTGGACAAACCTGCGTCCGCCTCACTTGCGGTTTATTCCCCCACACACACAACAGAAAAACACATGGCACTATCTCGGCCAAGGTCAAGAACGGAAGAGCTCTAGAGGTGACTCGACACCTCTTCGTCCTTACGACCCAAAACAGTTGGCAATCATAAAGAGAGGGGGTGAACAGGTTATGCGAAATAAAGGATCGAAACTGAACAAAGCCATTTCGAACCAAACATATTACTAACTAAGTGTCGATCGTAATATAAAATCATAATCACCGCAACGACCAACACTATCAACAAAGGCGTAAAACTCAAACGATAATTGCGCGTCCGCGCCAATCGGCTGCGCGGTCAGCGCCACTAAATTAGTTCTCGCCACAACACACATCACTTCACTGTGACAGCGAGGTATGCTTGCGTTTGTGATGGATTTTTTTTTTAGGAATTAGATCCGCGTCCACGCTCTATTTTTTGTTTTTAATCTAGTATAGTGACGCTTAAAATGTTCCATTCCACCCGGAAATAGCAGAACTCGTATCTGGTATGTCGTCCTCTTATAAAGATACCAGAGGTGACGTATTTTCATTTTCGTCGCTGCGCTATAACCTGCACTGAATTCCGTGAATTGACTTTTTTTCCAGTATTTCTTGTCGTTATACTGCTCGTTCTCTGAAATCACTTACGTCATGTCGGGCTCAGATTAAGTCATATCAACTCCTGTCATGGAATGGAATGCGGAACTTAAATGAATCTGTGGGAAAAATGCAAACAAGTTTGTTCTGAAGCTATCAGATGCCTGTCGTCGCATTGTTGTGTAACCATGACCGGTGTCGGCAGTGCTCTTTGTCGTCATTTTCTGGAATTATGGATCAACGCTGTTCGGTAGAATCTTGCTGGAGGTCAATCTTTCGATCGTGAGGATCGTCGTGCAACTATTCAGAGTTTTCTGCTGGATTTCATGCTGTGCTTCATTGCTTTGAGCCGAGCATGTCCGATTATGTCCATTGCCTACATTATTATCCGCTAATTTACCTTCCATGATGTGGTTTCTGTTTCTAGTAGCTCCTGCTTCACCTGGGGCCATATTACCGCAACACGGCTCTTCGCACAGGAATTGACACATGTGATGCTAGGTGTAACAGATTCTATCCTATTGCGGTGAAACTTTTGACACCCCCTGTACGTTGCCCTCCCGTGACCCGGGCCCAACTGGTGATCTCTAGTGACCTTCCCTGCCCGTGGGTGACTTCTCTGGCAGTCTGGTGGCGCTGAGGCGGACCCGATGGACCGGTGGATCCTGTCCCGCCTCTCGGCCGCCACCGAGGCCTGTGACGCCGGCTTCGTCAACTACGACTTCCCCTCGGCCACCACGGCCTGCTACAACTTCTGGCTCTACGACCTCTGCGACGTCTACCTGGTACGTACTACGTGCGGGGATGAACACCTGGTATGTGACGTGTACCTGGTGGATAGGGGACGGGCACTTGATCGACGGAATGTACAATTGGTACACTTGTGGTCTGTGGAATGTATACTTGGGACCTGCTGCGGGTCAAGTGGGATGTATATTGTGTATTGCGTGCATTCTATAACTTGCTCTCACCTACCGCGGATATACCTAATTACTCTACTGTCCCGATCCCCTCGCGTGACATCTCTCCCTCTCATTACTCTGGTAAGAGACTCATCAGCTGCTCTCCTGCTCCCCTCTGAAATGTCCCGGCCGCTTTTCTGACCCTCCCCCTCCCCGCCGACAGGAGGCCATCAAGCCGGTGTTTGCGGGCGATGACGCGGCGCGCAAGGAGTCGGCCCGCCAGGTGCTCTACACGTGTCTGGAGACGGGCCTGCGGCTCATCTCGCCGTTCATGCCGTTCATCTCGGAGGAGCTGTTCCAGCGTCTGCCGCGTCGCACGGCCGCCTGTCCGCCCAGCATCTGCGTCACCGCCTACCCGGAGCCCGCAGAGGTGGGGCAGAGTGGGACATAACGGGACAGGGGACTAAGATGGGACTAACCCAAAGGGAGTCCGGCGAGATGGGACGGGTTTTATGGTGTTAGATGGATCAAACGGCGTCAGATGTCAGCTAGACAGGTCACACAGGGTGTCCCATAAGTTCGTTCTCACATTATATTTGCATGTGAAACAGAGTACATTGCGTCTTGATATATTTGTGACCCCTCAATGTGCTCCCCATTTAATAGGCAAACACATGAACACATGCTGTGGCATGCCAACCGGCATGTTTGGCTGCATAGCAGGCTTAAAGTTAACCCAGAATACCTTGACATGCGCCGTGAGCTCCTCGAGGCTGGAACAGTGCTACGCTTCGACGAGCCTAATTTTCAGCATAACCAACAAATTTTTATGAAATTTTGATCCGATGAGGTGCCTGGCATGTGGTCTTGCCACAAACGCCTGTCACAGTCTCCTTGCACCGCTTTGCGTCAAGCTTTGCGTCAAGCTTTGCGTCAAGCTTTGTCAAGCTTTGCTTGACCTGTGCACTGATGCACTGTTTTGCCTGAAGATGGGCTTACGACCTCTTGGATGCCATTTTCTCCTCTATAAATGTGTTCATACTCGCGGTTCGAGTTCAGCTTGAGGGTTGAAACTCCTCCCGGATATTCTTGGGAAAGTATTATGCTTCCCAAAGCTGTTTCTGGGACACCAATCGCAACCTGGTCAGCGTCTGGACGCCTATAACCCCACAATACCGTGACCTTGGCCTTTCGCATAGGAACATAACGGGACGAAACGGAGGCCTCCTCCTTCGCCCTTATGGGGTTGTTTTCGGGTTTGGACGGGTGTTTCGTCTCGAACGTGGACTAGTTAGTCCAGATGACCTGGTTGATGTCCTCAGCCCTTTAGTTTTTTTTAAAGCCTCAGGCATAACGAAACTCATGTTTGGCCATTTTAAGACGTTTTTGACTGTTTTGAGCCCTCCGGTAAGCAAAGCTTAAGTCACCTTGAGTTATGTACCCCGAAAGAACACTCTTAGACAGCTGGTAATCCATCCTGAAAAGTCTGCTTACCAACTTTCTAACCCTTTGACCTTTTTGATGGCCACTTTGGCGCCACACAGTTTTGGCCACATGGCTCACTCCTGAGAGCTGACAAAAAAAAGAGGATTAACTTGCAATGATTGACTCCCGACAAATCATCGGCGTCACTTGCTGACTGTGCGTCCAGTTAGCGATGGACATTGTCTACAGACTGGTAGGCCTCAATCGCCCTTAACCCGCGCACCGACGGGGGGGGGGGCGGATATCCGCCCCCCCCTGAGGTTTTTCGCGAATAGCGGGAAAACCGCGGCGCGTAGCGCCGCGAAATTTGGTATGACTATAACCTCATCAATTTTACACATGGTGTGCAAGTTTGAACCTCCTACCTTTTAAGGTCAGGTCACCAGGTCACTTTGAATGACCCAACCTCAAGTCACTTTTTTGCAACTTTGTCACCGTGCCAGAGCTACAGTAGATGTCGGAGGCCTTTGAAAGTCGCAGGATATTATAAGGTCATTAGTAGCTACAATTTGTATATCTCGGAATTTTGATATCGGTGACCTAAGGTCAGGTCAATTTCGCGACCTCCCCATTATAAGTCAATGGGGGAAAAATCAACTCCCTGTTTTTACCACTAAAACGGGTCGGAATGGCCCCATATACCATACATGACTTCATATACGATCAACCTTCACTACCTTGAGGTCTATTTTGCTGTTGGGCAGCTGTGAGGTCATGTGACGTCATCAAAGGTCACCAAAGGTTTTTGGCCAATAACTCCGTACAGGAACAAGATACAGACGCGTGGATGGTCTCATTGTGTTCAGCTCGTCAAGACGCATCGAATGATATACATGATGACCTCGAGGTCACGTGACCTGAGGTCAACCTTTGACCTTGACCTTTCGAGGTCAACATATATGTCATTCGATGCGGATTGACGAGAGGATCACGATGATGCCCTTAGTTTGTTCCTATCTTGACTAATTCGAAAGTTATTCGAGAAAAACTCTCTCCATATCTAGCGCCGCCATTTTGACTTTTTCGACCCCTGTGACGTCATCTTTGACCTGACCTGAAAATGATCTTAGTAAAAATTGTAGATCTTGGCCGTGCGTATCCGATGCCGTTTACCGCTTGTCGCTATCTTGCTTCGTTCTCGAGATCTCAGGGGGGGGCGGTCATCCGCCCCCCCCCCGTCGGTGCGAAGTTGGCGCAGACCCCCGTCGGTGCGCGGGTTAATCGTCGCGAATGGTCACGTGCTGACTAAATACCGAGACGTACCCGTATTGGAGACCTCTATGTTGCGGCGTTAGCCGTCTGTGTAGGAAACGGGCTCTCTAGCAAAAACTATTTTGTCTACAGAAATTAGTTACTGTGGAGCATATTTCTACCAGCCATGGCAACCACGTAAACTCAGTAACGAACCAATTTCAGCTTGCCTTTAAGCAAGAGAGCCTAATAACGTAAAATTTAGGTGAGAACGAACTAATGGGACACCCTGTAGAGTCACGCAGTGTCGGACGGGTCAGACAGGGTCAGTAACTCTTGAGTGGCAGATGGCGGGCAGTGAAAGGTAGGCCTAATCCAGACGACTGCGAGGGCCAGGGCAGACTGGCCGGGCACTGGTAATTATCTTAGGACCTGTGTTGGACACGGCACCAGTTGGGAAATGCCTGCTCACTGCTGCCTCCAGATCGTGTTACGCCGTGCAGAACCACGACATCCTTTGGTCATCAGTGTAATCTCGTCATTGTATTCCCCGTTACCTGTATATATCGACATCGAATGCACCTGCTGTCATGATCCCCGTGGCCAGGCCACAATAATTTCACTACACTGACCTATATGGGTCAGTTACGGCCATGGACGGATAAGAGTCATAGCAATATCGCTTAACCGTTCACCGCGCCGTACTCACAAAGCGTCAGTGACCGAATTCTACCCCTGCCACAGACGATATCACCCACACTAGTCTGTCACGAGGTGTCTGACGTCCCTCCTGTTCTTATCCCCGCTCAGATGGCCGCCTACCGGGACGCCGGTCTGGAGTCGGACGTCGAGTTCGCGCAGAAGGTGGTACACGCGGTGCGCTCGATGCGCGCCCAGTACAACCTGCCCAACAAGACGCGCGCGCAGCTGGTGCTCCGCTGCGCTGACACCGAGACGGCGGAGCGGCTGCGGCGACTGCAGGCGGCCGTCACCACGCTCAGCTACTCGGCCTCTGTGCAGGTGGACGGAGAGCCGCCGGCCGGCTGCGCCATCGCCACCGTCTCCGACAAGTGCGAGGCGCACCTGCTGCTCAAGGTAAGGCTGGGGACGGGGGCTGGTGGGACTGGCGGTGGCTGGTAACGGGGGCTGGTGGGAGAGAGCTGGCACTGATAGTGGCTGGGAACTGACGGGACTAGAACTGGTGGACCCTCTCGGGCATGATTAGTTGGTATAGCCGAGTAAAATTAAGCTATACTAATTGAACCTGGCACTTCACTGACCGTAACGTTCCCCGCAGGGTTCGGTGGACTCGAGTCCCACCGACTGACCTGCCCACTCAGTCTGACCCGCATCCCTCCCCCCGAGTCTGGTGGACCCTGACTGACCCCCCCCCCCCACGGGGTCTGGTGGACCCCTCTGACTGACCCGTCCCCCTCCCGCCAGGGCCTGGTGGACCCGGAGAAGGAGCGGCTGCGACTGGAGAAGCGGCGCGCGCAGCTGGACGCCACACTGGAGAAGCTCTCCGCTCAGATGGCCATGTCTGACTACGAGTCCAAGGTGCCGCAGGACGTGCGCGCCGCCAACACGGAGAAACACGGCCAGCTGGCCACCGAGATCGAGAGCCTAGTGCGCGGCCTGCAGCACCTGCTGGCGCTCTAACACCGGTCCGGGCGGCGCCACGGGGCCACCGCCGCCCGGTGAATTACCCTCCCGGAGGGAATACACTGTCTGGCGGCGGACACGGACGAGTTTGGGGTGTGTGGAGGGAGAGACGGCGACGGGAGCGGGGTTAGCGGGACGGAAGAGATGAATAGCGAGACGTTAGGACGGCATCACGCTGGCTTAGCAGTCGCCGGTCGTCCACAAGTGTTTCCAGTAACCACAATCCGCCATGAGTCTTCCACTCAGCACACTATTCCTTCAGACGGCGGGCGCACATTTCAGCCTGTTCACCACACCCAGACGCCAATGCTAACAACGTCGCGGTTTATTGTCTTATGGTGAGTGAGTCATAGATACGCAGGCCACTCCACAACAAGCCAGATGAGAAGCACATGCAATGGTAACTATTGTACAATCAGTGGGAGTTAAGAGAATAATCACACGTATACAATCAACGAGCCCTCACACCAATGGACATTAAGTTCAGCCCCGGCGACACCTACCCAGGCAGAGGTCAAAACACCGACTGTCGGCTCTGTCAGCTCTGTCTCTGAGGGAGGTGAAGCAACAGTACCTACTGCTACTGCTGCGACCTCACCAACAGGCGGACGCGCTAATTTGTAAACAGTGGGCGCCCCTACGCGCCGAAACCCGCGACATACACTCAGTTCTCGGGTAAAACGGCGGGCGGCGCGCGCTCGGCGGCGCGGGAGGGCGACACTGCCGCCTCTGCACCGTCCGCCGGGCGCGGCGCCGGCCCGCCACAACACCATAAATAGCACCGCGTCGCGCGGCGGCCCGCGCCGCTCCACCGCGGCCTGGGCCCCGTATCACCCGTCCGGCGCGACGGCAGCCGCCGCGCCCACTATATGCCTAGCATACACGGTAGTAGCAAGCCCGGCCGCACAGGACACCCGCAGATGTTACACACTATGTCACCACGGAAACAGCGAGACGCGCCGGGGCCGGCCGGCCGCCGGGGGCGACCGCAGCACGCCCTGGCGGCGGGTCTGCGCACTGCCGACCGGCCGGCCCGCGCCGCCCATACACACCACATGGTGTCCGAACCAGTATTGTTGCAATACACAGCTAGCAGAAATGCAGCGCGCGGTGCCGCGAGGACACGCTCTCGGTCGCCGGCGGCGCGAACGGACGGACGGACGGTCCACAGCCGCCGAGGGCGAGTCGGACCGGCCCGCGCCGCGCCGCCGCCGGCGACCGGTACATTCACCGAATGCAGAATCACCCTGCGCAGAGGTTACATGGCCCGGCCAGCCCGCACGAGCAGCGCGCGGGCCAGCGCTATGTACAGCACCGTCCAACTACACAGTAGAAGTCACGCCCGCGCACGGACAGAAGCGAAAACAAAACGCGCACCTTCGCCCGATAACCGGGGTAGTCAGGGCCGCCAGAGGGCATATCTAAGTTCACAAATTCCAAGAGAATCGATGTGAATAATGTGCTTCGCGGCTGTCCCGCTGCATCTAAATCAAAACAACCACCGTCAACGGTACAACCTTCACCCAAGCTAAACAGGAAACCAGTCTAATCCTATCGGTGCGAATCCCCAAAGACAACAAACCGTACTGGAACAATCTGGAGCCGCGGACCGAGAGGTAATCCCCGCCGGGCTCCGTCAACTGTCATTTATCGCCGGCTCTGAATCTGGGCCGAGTCTGGGAGTTCAGACGCACCAGTCGGGACTCAGTTGGATCAGTGGCAATCATCAGCTGAGTCGACCGGCGGCCGTCTGAGCCGCTGAACTGAGCACAGTGGAACTCAGAACTCTGACACCGGGGCTCAGTCCGAGCGACGGCGACCCGAGCCAAATCAATCAGCCGCTGCTTCGGCTGGGACCATGCGGGCAATCGCCCGTAGCAGTTAGCGTTTCCCAGTCTTCTGATCATGACGTCTCACCCTGGCTCAGGGTGCCTCCCGCTGTTCCAAATCGTCTCCCGCTGTCCCAGAACGCCTCCAGGTGGCTCAGAACGGCTCCTTTCCGCTTCCAATAGTCAGCGTCGCCCGCCCGCTGCCTCAGTCGTCTCCCGCCGGCTCCTGGGACCTCCCACTGACTCCTGCCGCTACTCTCTGTCCCAGAGGGCCTCCAGTTGGCTCCTGGCGTCTCCCTCCGGCCAAGGTGCCTCTCCGTGTCCCTCCGCTCCGTCGGACGTCCCTCCTGCGCCCGCTCCGGCCCGGCTCTATCCGCTGGTGTAGAACTCACCACCGTTGAAGCCCCAGCCGGACGTGCTCGGGTACGAATCGTCCTGGAACCGGGAGCGGCCGGTCAGACCGAGCGGCCGGGGTGGGCCGACCAAGGTGCGGTCGCCGGGTCCGTTCCCACTGCTCGGCCAACTGGGGTTGGCTGTTCCAAGCGGTTTAGTGGTAACGGACGGTCACGAGTTTAGGTTTATAAATGGTAGATATGATTGCAGTTAAGTTTTACGACATATATCTGACGGGTTCACGAATCTTCTGAGATAATAAAGCACATGATCATAACCACAAATTTACAGTAATGGTGATAGACAAATTAGAAACAGAGCACGTATTGTTCTCTGCTGTTCGAGCTGATAAAACTACATCCTCACATTGAACGTAACATACCGTGCATCACGGATCTGTTGAGTAAATAACGAGAAGCTGACCCTGGACAAGTGACCCGCCCTGACCTCACGTACACCCCGCCTGCCGAGCAGCACCCCGCCTCACCTGGCCGGAGCCCCAGCCGGCGCGGCTGTCAGCCAGCCCGCCGCCCGGCGCCGGCCGCTGCGGCGCCGCGCCGAACTTGGACATGGGCAGCGACGATCCGTCGGCGGCGTACATGTGCGCGGCTCCGAGCGGCGAGTCGGCTGCCGGGTAGAGGCGCGCCGCCGAGCCGGCGCCCGCGCCCGCGCCCACCGGCGGCGGCGTGAAGCGGGCGCCGCTGAACGGGTCAGCCGAGTAGCCAGCGAACGGCACGGCCGCCGTCGAACAGAGCGGCCCGTGGCCCAGCGACACCGACGACGTCGTGTGCGAGCTGCGCACGTTCTGCCAGCGCACACAGCGGCGGCCGGTGAGCGGCAGATCCGGGCCAAAAATGGACGCACACTCAGGTACGTCAACCCTTGACGGGTGGACGGTAACAATACGATGCCCGACAAAAAAGCGATGCGTTGTTTCAATTTCCACGTATTTGGAGGTGCTGCTTCTCAGCAAAGCCACACGACCATGTGGCAAGAGATCGGAAGAAAAAGGGAGTCTGCGCGGGTTTACTCGGCCACGGGCGCTGTCGCAGAGAGCAAGCGAATGCCAAGCACGCTGAGCGGGACTGCTAAGCTCTGCTCCGGGACGGGAAGGGCAGACGGACCAGACACACAGTGCGGCGCACCGCCCGCCGAGTACTCACCAGCCTGTTCTCCTTCTGTTTCTCCTCGATGCCGTGCTCGATGAACCACAGTTCCCGGATGAGGTCCTTCTCCAAGTGCGAGGACGGGCTGACCGGCTCCTCCTGGGTCGTCCTCTCGGGCTCCTCGTGACGCGCCGGCGACAGCACCTGCGATAGCTGAATCAGAAGGCGGAGGGGAGGGGCGGGAGGGGGCGGACCGGCGTCACACGCAGGGCAACATGGAACGTAGGCCGTGCGAAGAGCACAGTAATCATTCGGCCCCAACTCGAACACCGGCCGCAAATTTAGACATCACACTAAAAAAGGACTTAGTGGACAGCTTCTGTTACCTGGAATCAGGCTGTTTCTTTATCAAACTATAAGGACCCGATTTTTTCAATTTGTTATTGGTTCGCTCTCGAATCGTTACAATCTGACTGCTTAAGTGGTAAAACAAGACTGCTAAATGAGCTATCATCAATCATGTTTTGCATGCTTCCGTTGCCTTTGTTTGTTAAAGGGACCCTCCCACCTTCAAAAAAGTTAATGAATTGGCATGAAAGTGATGTCGCTCGGTTCAGAAAGAGCAAAAACGAATATCTACCAAATTTCATCGAAAAATATTCACCGGTTTTCAAGATATTAGACTTTTACTTTTGTTTACTTTTTGGGATGTCCGCTGTTCATAGCGACTTTATTTGAAAGTGCGGCATTTGTTGCGCGCAAGGCAGCATATACCACCGCGTGCTACAAAACGTTTTAGTCAAACATTTAAAAATAGTTAGATATCTGCGCTGACGTCACACATTCAGAGGGGTATTCCTATGCATTAGCCCCTCTGAATCAAAATGCTGCAATTTTGAAATTCAATATTTCCGATTTAAGGCATTTCTCGATGTTGTGAGTGCCGAAACCGGTAATTGTGAGCCAGGGACCCCATTTTGGCTATCTCAACTCAAATCTAATGTTAAGGTGGGAGGGTCCCTTTAAAAGACAACTAAACAATGACATTTTCCCTAGAAAAAATAGATACACCGGTAATTTTGAACGCAATTTGTCTACAAGATGTTGACTACAGCGGAAACTAACTGATCATTTTTTTATAAGCACTATAGCCGGTTTTCCAATGCCTTCAACTAGGCTTTGACGGAAGTACCAAAACGTTATGATGGCTAGCTTCAAAGCTTAAACCAGTATTTCCGTTCAGACCGTGGGACGCTCTATAGAGATGATCGCGATAGGAGTCCGGACGCCGGCGCCGCCGCCGGTCTGTGGTCAGCACAGCCGCTGAATGTGATCCACATCAGTTCCCGAATATCACGTCATCTCTAGCCGTCAGCACGTCCGGGCCGGTGGCCGACCGTCGGAGCAGCTTCCCCGTGAATCATACTGTCGAATATTCCGGCAGCTCGCCTCAGCGGCAGTCTCTGCCCCCGGGCCCTCCCCCGACCACCACGCGTCTCCCACCGTCCCATCCCATCAGCTCACCTGCCGCCCCGTCACAACACCACTACCACGGTCCATCCCATCACCTCCCCCCTGCCGCCCCGTCCGCCGGCCGGCACGCACCTTCACGCCGTCCTGGAACTTCCTCTCGAGCGAGTCGAGCTCGTTCTGGAAGCGGATGCTCTCGGCGGCTAGCAGGCTGCCCTCGGTGTTGCGGGCGATGGGCAGCGGGTCGCTGGGCCGGTCGCCGCTCGGCTTGAGGTGCACCATCTGCAGCCCGGGCGGGTCCAGCACGCCGTGGCCGATCGTGTTGTAGTGCATGCCGCACGGGTCCGTCTGCACTAGCTGGTACTGCAGGCCGCCGCTCGCTGCCGGAGGGGGTGTACAGAGACAGAGGTCACACACTGGAGGTTTACTGTATGCCTGGCCTATTCAAATACATTAGCCAGAGGGGTGTGGTAATAACTGGTGTAAGCAAATTGACCACGGTCAAAAATGCATTACCAGAATGCACTTAAGCGAACATTTTGGGATGGTCTCGTTCCTAAGTCGGCTAAGAGCTTCGGTCCAGAAAATAAATTTATCGTTGGCATACAGTAAAATACATACCAAACTCGGCCGGTGATAAATTTTCAAGACCTCAGTCCTTACTGATTTTTGAACTCGGCCTTCGGCCTCGTTCAAAAATCCAGTAAGGACCTCGGTCTTGAAAATTTATTTACACCGGCCTCGTTCAGTATTATATAATACCACACCGGCTGGTACTGCAGGCCGCCGCTCGCTGCCGGAGGGGGTGTACAGAGACAGAGGTCACACACTGGAGGTATACCACACCGGCTGGTACTGCAGGCCGCCGCTCGCTGTCGGCGAGGGGTGTACAGAGACAGAGGGTTAGACACACTGGAGGTATAACACACCAGCTGGTACTGCAGGCCGCCGCTCGCTGCCGGAGGGGGTGTACAGAGACAGAGGTCACACACTGGAGGTGTAACACACCAGCTGGTACTGCAGGCCGCCGCTCGCTGCCGGAGGGGGTGTACAGAGACAGGTCATACACTGGAGGTATAACACACCAGCTGGTACTGCAGGCCGCCGCTCGCTGCCGGAGGGGGTGTACAGAGACAGAGGTCACACACTGGAGGTATACCACACCGGCTGGTACTGCAGGCCGCCGCTCGCTGTCAGCGAGGGGGTGTGCCGAGACAGAGAGGTCACACGCAGAGACTCGCGGGTGAGGTGACTGGGCCGCACTTTGTATATATGCTTCCTCACCACGAACCAGCGTCTCAGATGTGACTTCACCCAACCAACTAGAGCCAAATCTACCAACATTGAGCTTGCATAACACTCTTACCACACTCCTCCCAAACACAAACGCATCCTACCCCGCCAGTCCCCGTCCGCCACCCGTCTCCCATTCACTCACCGTTGTAGAGGAACGGGTCGCAGATCTGCATGAAGCTGGGCGGCAGCACGTGTCCCGGCATGGGCCGCGGCTGCTGCAGTACCGCCTCGGTGGGCACCGTGTCGCCGGAGAGGGCAGACACCTGAACTGGCCGGCTGGGCGTGGTGCCAGCCCGCTCCGTCCGCGAGATCGGGCCGAACGCAAACTCCTCGGCCGTCGACGAGAACGGGATGTACTCGTCCTCGTTACTGGGGGTCCGGCAGGTGGGAAGGGGAGCTGTTAGCGGAATGTACTGGCCCAGGGTCCGGTAGATGGGGGTGGAGGGGCTGTTGACAAAATGTACTGGGGGAGGGTGTTCCAGGAAAATGGGGGGGGGGGAGCGGTAACGGAATCTTCTTGCCCTCGTCAGAAATGTTAAAAAAAAAAACGGACGGCATTCATTACGATGACGAAGCCGGTTACCAGTTAACTATCTCATCACGCACCACTACCGCAGCCCACTGTGGCGGCCACACCGCCCTGCCTGCTCACCTGGCCACTCGCACATTGCTGTAGACCGGTCCCGAGTTGGTGGCGCGCGACTTGGTGCTTTGGTACTCGGCCAGCGACGACTTGAGCGCGTGGAAGAAGCTGTCACTGGACGTCCAGATGGAGTAGTGTTTGGTGGGCTGCGTGCCGCCGGCCTGGTCAGTGGCCGCCTGCGGCACGGCGCTAGCCTCGTACGGCTGGGGCGCCGCCGCCGTGGTGGTGGTGGTGGTGGCCGTGCCCTCCACGCCGTCCGCCGAGGTCACGATGTGCTCCAGCTGGTGCAGGATCTCCTGCTTCCTCTGGCGCAGCGCCGTCAGAGATTTGGACGCGATCGACTGCAGGGGACGGAGGGAGCGATGAGCGCATATTGTATACGGACTCACATGCGACCGCCACCGCCACTAAGTCCGTCACAATGTCCAACAACATTGTACAACGCCCAAAAAGTGAGCAGTGCCGACACGAGCATCATGTAGTAAGAACTCACACCATCAACATTCGGCAAGGAGTCCCAGCATTTAATAACAACCCTAACAAAGGTCTGCCACTAATCGTACACCCAGCAGCGGCGGGCACCGACCCCTCGCAACTGCCGCTAACCGGCGAGTTGAAACTCGCTCCCCCCCCCTGCACTGACCGGCCACCCCTCCCTCGCCCGCCCTGCCATTGCTCGGCGAGTTGAACCTCTCTCCCCTGTCACTGACCGGCGAGTTGACGTTGACGGGCACGGCGACGCTCCGTCCGCCGGACGTCGCACTCGAGCTGATTACGCCGGTCGAGCCGAGCCCGGACGAACTCAGAGAGGTGATAGCCTGGCCGGGCCGCGGCGGCGACTGTACCGGCGGTACGCTGAGGTCAGGGAGGGGAGGGTCAGGTCAGAGGTGGTAACTTGGCCGGGCCGCGGCGGCCACTGTACCGGCGGCACGCTGGGGTCAGGAAGGGAGAGGGGAAGTCAGCCGAGACCAAGACACGAAGAACATAAAATGACACACTGAAGAACATAAAACTACACAGGAAAATGAGCAAAAAAAAAAAATTATCACAACTAAAGCCCGAAACGAGCAACTCAACATTATCGTACATGCCATAACCGTACATAACACTGCACTCAGCTAGCAGTTAACAGTGCTGAGCCCTCGAGTGGATGAACCGCTCGGTATATTTTGAGCGTGTTGAGAGCGCCTCCTCCGTTCTACCATCCCACCCTGCCCCGGGAGCGGCGCGCGGCACTGACCCGTAGACGGCCGGCGGCGGCCGAGGCGGCGGCGGCGGCGGGCCCGGCTGGACGGCGGCCCGGTGACCGACGGCCGGCGCGCCCACCAGCTGTACCCCGGGCGGACCGGGGCCGGGACTGCACACCGGAGTGAAGTACTCGAGCTGGTAGGGCAGGCGCGCCACGGCGTGCACCACGGGCACGGGAACGGCGGCCGGCGGCGGTACCAGACCCACCACGCCTGGGGGAGCGGGCGCACACAGCGGGAGGTCACATATCGGGTGGTCAATGGTCAGACACAGCATGGGATTAGCACGTAGTGCCTTTGTTTGTGAAGCTATTCACGTTCCATCATGCATGCCAGTGTCCTGATTTTCGTGAAGTTGGGTGGAAACCCACACCTTAACAGATTCTCTTTGTGACGTCCCGGAAAGCCAAACGACGTCCCTGACATTTTTTTACGGATCGGGATAAAAGTCGGCAGGTATATCGAACACCAAAAGCAAACTAACAAAAAGAAATATCACCTCTGTAGCCTAAAAACACGGCTATGCAAAATGACAACAAATATATCCTAAGTCCTCACAAACCCACTTACACTCAACTCCCCTTTCCTACACCGCTGGCCAACTGCCGCAACAGTAAACAACGCGGTTTTATGTTCGTTTTCTGTGCGTCAGATATGGATAGGTTTTTCTTTTACCATATGAAGGTAATAGCTGCCATATGAAGGAGAAAAGATGTCGGAATAGAGGGATCTGAGGACATCGTTTTCCACTTTTCAGTTTTAGTAACTGTGGAGTGTATAGATAAAAATTTATCATGCGAATATATTACTTCGACATTTATCTATAAGCACGCAACATACCTTTTGTATCAAACTACTGTAACATATTTAATTATTTTTTCCCCTCAGAAGGTCACAGTAACGGGGTAGCGCTGCCCCTGGAACATGTCCTTCAAAAGTAGTTAATTTTGCATATGTTGATAGTGGTTGGGGAAAAAGTTTAGTGTTTACTTGTTTGAATTAAAATAAAGTTACCGAATTTCAACAGTATTAATTCAAGTATGTCGTCCTTGGCTTAAAAAATACACGCAATGTTGGGGACGTCGATTGACCTTGTCATTCCCATTTAATCGACGTCGGTACAAAACTGAAAAGTGCACAATGATTTCACATTTTTTCCAGCCAAGAAAAATTCAGCGTCCACCTTGGGGTTTTCTTAATTGAATTTCATAACAGGAAGCTATGGAAATTAATTTTCCGAACTGTTTTCCACCTCTTTGTTTGGACGTCTGTTTTTTTACGTCAGTCCTCTTGCTCGATATAATGTCCTTCTTATGACGTCAATATTTAGTGATAGCTTGGGTTGATTTTTGTTGTAGCATATTTGTTGTTGACTGTTGTGTACGATCATGGACAAGAACTAGACATCTTCAAAGTGTTGTTTTGGTGTTTGTGGTGAATGATTTAATTTTGTATTGTACTAGGGGAAAACTGGCATTACTTTGTGTCTACATATAAATGATCATTTGAGATGCCTTGAGGTGCTATTAGTCAACATTGCCAGTGAAAATCGCTAATTTTAAGAGATTTAGGTAAGGGATTTTCAGTGGCTTAGGCTCCGCACCGATATCGACGTCCTTTTGAAATAGTGACGTCCTTGCGGCTTCAATCACACTCTCCGAAAAATCAATTTCAGGACACTGATGCATGCTATGTAGGCTAATTGTCGGTAGTTCCAAAATGATAGATCGATGAAGGTAACGGGGCAAACAAACTCGATAGAAAAGACCAGGAGATGGAGATAACATACCAGCAATGCATCTAAGTGGGCTTGTACCGTTAACGATTTGCACCATGCAGCTCCGCCTCATTCGCACTGATATCAAGATGCATTACGTGCATTGAGCTATAACTAGTGTCCGCATAGCTAAACGACAGGCACATCAATATGAGCTACACATTCTACGTGATAATAACTACGTAACGTTTCGGAACTGATTGCAGAATACCTCCGGGAAACCCAGTGATATAACAGGTACCAAGTAAATAATAGCCATCATCAGACCTTGGCATCTGCATTCTGCAGTTTCCGGGACCTAGGGGAGAGTGGGGTAATTTGGCCGCTTTTTTTTAGAAAACGATATAACTTAAAATTGACGACACATTTCTGCATTTTCTCAACGCTGGCAGGTGTCGTATTCATTTTACTTTACTGGACAGTGAACTTGAAATGATAGAGTAATTACTTATATTGAAATTGTGACGCATTACAAAGGTCTGCAAGGCGGCCAAATTGCCCCACTAGCAGGGTTATTTGGCCGGGGGTGTGGGGCAATTTGGCCGGTGTTAGTTTGCGGTCGGGATTTTCTGTTATATTGCGAGTCAGCTTCAGATTCAGCAATGATGTGTGTCCTATGACGCATTTGCCGCATTTTGGAGGTTGACTCAGGGGTCACAGGGGTCAAAATAGCCAAATTAGCGGCTCTAGATGCGAAGACAGTTTTTTACGAATAACTTTTGAAGTAATCAAGCTAGGCCAAAACTTCGAGTACCATCGTAATTCTCTCGTCAGTCCGCATCGAAAGATATATGTGTTGACCTTGAGAAGTCAAGGTCAAAGGTTGACCTCAGGTCACGTTGCATATGGTCGCTTGACCTCAAGGTCACGTGATTTCAAGGTCATCATGCATATCATTCGATGCGCCTTGGCGAGCTGAACAGAATGAGACCATTTGTGCGGCTGTACCAGTTTTATGTAAGGATTTACTAGCAAAAAACGTTTGGTAACCTTTGATGACGTCACATGCTCTTACAGTTGACCAATCGGAAGTAAGGCATCAAAGTAGTCAAAGTTGGTCATGAATCATGTCATTTATGGTACAATTGACCATGAAAACTCGGCCGTCCCAGCATATAGACCATGAGCGCACCGGCCAAATTGCCCCGCTAGTCCCGGCCAAATTACCCCATATTGTCATTCTGAAAATTTTTGTCTATAAAGTCATCACGGCTATACGGAATTAGATAAAATTGCTCTTGGAACCGCTGAACACCCCCAAGAATGGCGCTATAATGTCTGAATTCGTTTTTAGCCCAAATCCTACATGTTATACAACTTTGTAAACAGAAGTAAAAGTTACCATTTTCTAATGAAATTAACGTTTTATTAATTTTGAATAAAACTACGAGGGGCAAAGTTTCGACATTTGTCCTCCAGTTATTTCTACCCATGACAAATGAATAGAGACTAGAGCTATTTCACTCACTTTTATTAGACAGCGTACAGGTGGGGGCGGCCAATTTACACCACCGGCCAAATTACCCCACTCTCCCCTACTCTGCTCGTGTCACCACCCCGTAATTAGCTCAATCAGCCCTCCCAGCGACACAGGCCTGAGACCCCAGCACTGTCTCTGTACCAGGCCGGTCACTGCCGTGGTGCCGTCCCACGGTCCCCCGGTACCACCCCTCTTTCCCCCCCTCCCCACTCACGCTGCGGGGGCACGGCCTGGAAGCCGGCGGCCGGCGGCAGCGGGAACGTCACCCGAGGCGTCATCGGCGGCCCGGCCAGCGAGGCGGCCGCCGGCGCCGGCACCGGGGAGTCGGCCGCGCCCGGCGGCCGCTCCGCCTTCTTTGGCCGCCGGCTCTTGGCGCGGTAACTGCCGGAGCGAGGGTGGGGACGTAAGACACGGGTCAAACTGATACAGGTCGGTCGCCGGCTCTTGGCGCGGTAACTGCCGGAGCGAGGGTGGGGACGCCAGATACAGGTCAGAGTGGGGAGGAGGGACAGGGAAGGAGCGACCACCAGCATTAGAAATCACATTGTTTTACGTCTAACTGCATGTCAGCATGAAACACCTAACCTTTTCTATTGAACGAGCACCTTCCCTCCATCCCGACCCCAGTCGCACAGCCCCACACCTTCTCCCTCACCCGCCCAGTCCTTTTGCTCACCGCTCCAGCTCCTCCTCCGAGTGGGCGAACGTGCAGGCGGGGCCGCGCGGGCACGTGCCACGCTGCTTCAGGTCGCGGCACAGGCTCGTCTTGTACTTTGCGTTGTGGGCGTGCGTGGTGTCCACGTGGACGCGCCGGCCGCCGTGGTGGTGCACGAAGCTGATGAGCACGCGCACCACCTCGGCGGCCGCCTCCAGAGCCGTCACCACCTGCTCCCAGTCGGCCTCCATCGAGTCTGGGGGGGGGGGGGGAGAGCGTCACCAGGGCGGTCACCAGGGGGGGGGGGGCGTCACCACCTGCTCCTAGTCTGCGTCTCCATATAGTATTAGCATCAGGGAAGGAGCAAAACATGAACATTGTTTATTGTTATTCACACTGTGCATTGTCATTAAGCGTTGCCTTGAATATGAATATGGTGGCAATCCTACTCATCTACTGCAGGCTTGTTTGTTTGCTGAGCTTTTAGAGCGTGTCGTCAACGGGGTCATCAACCGCCCGTAACTGCTTCTCAGCTACTTCCAAGGTCGATTTTTCAACGTGAGGAAAAAATCTTACGATACTGCATGCTGCTTAGCGGCACAATCAAACTATATCGGCCAGGAAAAGGTAACCCCGCCACGCATTTTACGCGATTTCGTCAAACGCGATACGCTGCGCTTTTTCAGGGCATAACTCTCGAGTGTCAGCGGATGTAACCAACCGTGACATCACTGGCGTGAGCTAGTGTAACCATCAGTGAGACATACCTGGCGTTGCAATATGATGACTACAGGTTTTTGGTGTTAAGGAGTATACCTTATTAGGAGGGAGTCCAGGCACGCCGGACACATACCTGGCCTTAGGGAGTCCAGCGACCCACTGAACCTACCTGGCGCTGGGTCGACGGCGGCCAGAGTCTGCAGCCTCATCCTGGTCTGGGAGAGCCCGGCCGGGTCGCCCGTCTTCTGCAGCGAGATCACCAGCTCCTGGATCGACTGGTTGAAGCTGGACGGAGACTGGAACGGAGCGCAGTCACGGGTCACGTCACACGCCGTGACGCAATGACGACGTGACGTTATCACTGCGCTGGGTGAAAGGTCGCCGCACCCAACTGTGACGTGACAGTCAACAAACTGCACTGTTTCAGCACGTAGCCAGGGGGATGACCAGCCTGTATGACGAGCGGGTGGCCGCTGTCGCTGTCCTAAGTATCTATTGTGTCTACATGACTCGGTGGCATGGCTTATCGCCATGCCAACAACGCCACGGCAAATAAGCTACAAGCGTAGACCGGCTGAAAATACGTCAGCCATATGACACTGAGCCCCAACTTCCTTGGTCATTGTAATGTCTTCAGCTGACAACACAAAAAGGACAAATTGAAATATAATGCTTCATCGACATCTAAGTTCGTAAATCCATTTCCTAGCAATGTATTTGCGCTTTAAAAGAGCGAAGTGGCGCCCGTGATTGAGCAGTGAGCATGGCGCTTCGACGAATTCACTCTTTATTCAGCTAATGGTCCCAGTACATGTACGCCACTGATACTGCACATCCAGTTAGGAGGCACCTGTTTTGACGACCAGCTGTCAATCGGAGCCCCTATCAGTTCTCAATGAATGGCCAGCAGTACGGCACTGGGTGCCGCCGTGGTGCCTACATTCCATGCTCTCAGCAGATGGGGGTGGGGGAGAGATGACCTTGTCCGGGGGACAGGCAGCAGACACCAGACGGACCCCTCTGCTGCCGCCTGTCGGTCGGACCGATCTCGGACCATATGTCAGTCAGTCCGGTCCTGTTCCCAGGCCGGTGCAGTCGTATACTGCGACCGGCATCGGAGCTCTGCCGCCCCTGGCCCGCCCTCATGCAGTATTCAGTCGACAGAGCCCCAACAGCCTGCGCCCTGTTGAGCGTCCGACGGCCCGGCTAGATCGCCGCCAGATCGCCGACCGTCGGACAACGGCCGGCCGATGACACTGACCCTGAGCACAGCACGCGACAATGATCCGGACAACAGGCGGCGTCAGCGGTCAGTAGAGGCGTTAGTTGCAGCACATCCTCACCGCTAACGTATGCTGCAATACGTAATGAACACATGCTCGCTAAAAAATCGCCGGCTATATTTTTACCGGTCCAAACGGAGGCGCGGCGACTCGTGACAATTTATTCAAATGCAATGCAGCGGAGTCGCGCCCAAGTCTGTTAAAAAGTAAAAAGCTACCGGTTTGTACAGTGGGTCTATTTAAGATCTCCAGAGCCACCACGTGGCGCTACGGTCGGGGTAGGGCGAGTCCAAATCCCGAGGGAAGTGAGGTCACCGGTCATTGTGGGGGAAGGAGGGAGGGGGAGTGACGCGGTATCACGGCGCATGGGGCGTGCGTAGCGCCGGGAGTGGGCCGCCCAGGGCCGCCCGCCACTGCGCCGAGGCAGAGGGGAGGGGATGATGGCTGCGGGTGCGTTCACTCCGGTATGGTGGTATCCTGTTCATGTGGAACCAGCAAGAATGCGACTGAAGGGAATCATTATCTCAAACAAACGGACAAGCGAGAGGCAGCGTCAGTTCCAGCCAAAATCTTGAACAATGATAGTCGAAATATAGGACGGATTAATAGCATGCAACTATTCAGTCGATAGTTGTTTGAGTTGGGTATTTTTTCATTTGGCACGTTCAGTTTTGGTGGGTTTTATCGGGTCGAAAAGAATCCGAAAAGAAAGAGTTGAAATGGCTCCAGAAAAATGACCAAAAAATATTTTCTTTAAAAATGAAACTTAGCTAAACATTTATAAGCGATAATTTTGACTTTTTTGAGAGGATATTGGGGAAATATGTTGGTGAAAGATATCATCGTGCTTGTCTGTGTTGCAGCAGAAGGAAAGGTTTTGGTTCGTGTCCAGATAAAACCAGACCCGGGAGTGGGGCTCGAACTCACGACATCGCGTTCAGCTCACAGGTTACCCAACATAACGCTACGAGCACCTATCGCCCCGCGCAGCTTGCTCAGTGCTACGGCTAAAGTTCGGCCAAAGTGTCTGACGTCTGTCAATGTCACGAGGCGAAACCCCTAGGTAAATGTCCGTCCCAGTAGCTCGGTCGTTAGGGCGTTTGACTCCGTGTGGTGAGAGCGCACGTCCCGGTTGCAAAAGTCCGGGTTCGAAACGCGACGTGTGCTTGACTTTTTTGAGCTCCTGACGGGTATGGTTGTGGTTGGTGGCAGGCCGCTGCCAGGCGAAGTCAGTGAGGGGACCGGCCGTGCGCGGCTACGTGCGCACGTTAAAATTTGGACTAATTCTGCCATAGACCGGGAATTGCTTGATCGGAGGGTAGAGGTCAGGGTCAACGCAACAAGCTCAGCTTAGCGGGGACTCTTTCCTTGTGATTCCTTTCATTCAAAAGGTTCGGGCCAAATCTTTATTAAAAAAAGGGGAGCCGAACCATGTTGGGTCGGGTTGAACCCGGTTGGACCTGTGTCTTACACGCAATCATGGTCAGAGAAAACAGAGGCCAATTTCGGGTCAAATATTTTTATTAACCGATCTTATTGTTTTTTAGCTTACACGTATAATATCTTTAAGCTTTTTTCAAATCGAGACTTCATACACAAAAATGTGGCATTCGTCCGCTTTTTCTCATCTTCTCTCAGCGACTTGATTTGACCTTAAATCGTACCAGCAAAAAAAAAAATCACCTGCGTAATAATTATTTGCCCAAGGGCGCTCTACGCGAGAAACGCCAGCCGGTCAAAAAACTGGCGAACGATACGATATTTCTAGTGCTTGAATTATATTCAATGAAAATTTCAGCAGACATAAATAATCTTAATCCTTAACTACCGGGCGCTCGGAGCATTCGCTAGCATTCCATTGCCAGCTGCATTAACAACATGATATTTGCATTACTTTTGGTTCATCATAGTTACAGTAGATGAGCCGGCCACAGCAAACCCATGCCTCATTATCCTTTCCTTCCAAGCAGCCAAGCTAACCGGCCGCCCGGCCCACAACCGCGATATGGAACAACACTGGAGTGCGCCATTTGCCAGCGGCAGTGCCCACGCGTCGGGGCTGTTTGACAGGTCACCCGCACCGTGACCTCGCCAACCGCCCCCCCCCCCCCCCCGCCCACCTCCCCATCGGGCCCAGCTCGGTACTGACCTCCCCTTGAATTTGCCATGGACTCGACTGAGGCTCAACGCCATCTAGTAACGTCTGGAGATCCTTACTAGATCCACTGTACAATGAGGTGCATCGTGGAATCCGGATGAAAAGTCTTCGAGCGCCAAATATGAGCAATGTTCAGTCGGACTCAAGGTTAACACGATTGAGCTCAGCACACTGGGCGAGTTACCGCTGTCATGGAACCACGATAAATGCGCCCCTGGGCGCCGCTGCCGCTGTCGCCAACCGCCGTATCAGATCAGGGCGGACTCCCCGCCACGCGCTCAGCGGAATGTCACCGTGCCGATTAGTAAAAGGAGTGTATGACGAGCGCGCGTCACCGTACCGTTGGGCGATTAGGGTGTCGTTACCGTGCACGAAGTCAATTCAAATCGATTGTCGCATACGTTCAATATCGAGTAACCTACCAAAAAGTGATGGAAAAGTACGCGAAGAAGGTGTAGCAGAAACAGACCAATTAAAGCCTCAAGGCTCTTTAATAGAAAATTACTGACAATTTGGGCATCCGACATTTGAACTCGTAAAAGAAAATCGGCGCAATATCGAGACACGTTATCCAATAAAATATCCGACAATGTTACCGTGATAAGGCTGCTTCACAAGCGAGTGAACATTACGACTACCATAGACCACTTTATATCCCGATACATAGTGGTCTATGCGCCTACCAAAACCTTTCTAGATTGATAATATGAAGATCAAAGGCCGTCCGCCTGCAGTTTGTCCATGGCGTCCCCACTGACCTGCAGTTTGTCCATGACGTCACCACTGACCTGCAGTTTGTCCATGACGTCACCACTGACCTGCAGTTTATCCATGACGTCCCCACTGACCTGCAATTTGTCCATGAAGTCACCACTGACCTGCAGTTTGTCCATTATGTCACCGCTGACCTGCAGTTTGTCCATGACGTCCCCACTGACCTGCAGTTTGTCCATGACGTCACCACTGACCTGCAGTTTGTCCATGATGCTCTGCATGTGCGACTTGTGCGCCACGTCGCCGTACAGCAGGCTGGACCACTGATCGGGCGCTATGCGCAGGCCGGCCTCCAGCGCGATCTGCACGATCTGCGTGTCGTGCTCGCGGCGCAGCGACTCGTACGTGCGGAACTCCTCCTTCAGCTGCATCAGAGACGAGTCGCCCTCGCGCTTCGTCACCTGACGGCACAGAACAGAGGGGAGGTGAGGTAACCGTGCAGTCACCTGAGACTGCAGGTCAGGTGAGGTGAGGCACCCGTGGAGTCACCTGAAGCTGGAGAAGTGAGGTGAGGGCAGTATAAACTACGGAGTTACATCAGGTTACAGAACGGGTGAGGCGAGGGTGTGGTACTTTATGAGTTACCTGCCTAATTGTGCCTATCGGTATCTAATAAACGTCCTTGACAGAACGGGAGGAGATGGCGGCATGATTCTTGATGAGTGCATAAAGGCGGGTCAGCTAAACCAGAAACGCTGGACAAAAAAGGATTCGTGATCCATAATCGTGGCGATCGGCTGTCAACCGAGCGATGGTTGAGACGGGACGGTCCAAATCATACGCCCCCAACGCGAGGAAGGTCGTCACAGGTCCCATTGGTGCCGGCGGCATTGCTGAGCAGACGTACGACTATCAAACGATGTCACCGCCCGGCACCATGCATAATGGAACGTGGAGCCGCGTATAACTAGCTGGATCTATACTCAGTGCGCCGCACACGCATGATCCATCCATATCCCTGCGCATGTCAGATGGGCGATACCGAACTGGAAGCTGCGCTGACCGACCCTTCGACGGCAACTGATGCTAATGCCGCGCGGCCGAGCGTAACTCTCGGTTGACAGCAGTCGCCTTGAGACCCGCTTCCCTCTGAGAGAGACGGTGTGTCCTCGGCTTCCCTCACTCACTGGGAATGTTATATGAACATCAGATGCCACACAGTCTGATATCCAGATCCGGTAATATTGCCAAAATATCGCCGACACCTTCAAACATCGTCGCGGTACCCAAACGCCCCCTCACCAGCACTGAGGAACGACCCGGACCATTACCGTCATCCTACGCGTCACACCAGCACAGACGTCAGTTCTATGATGTCACATCACGCCTCGGACCATCAAAAGGGGCGACGTCATTATACAGGCTAGACCAGTACAGATGTGAGTCCAATGATGTCACATCACGCCTTCTCCGAGATCACGTCCGCATGGAAACGCGGTCAGCTCAGAGCGGGATATCATTCGAAACGATGTGAAAATTTCCGTGGAATCATCCGACATGACTGAAACTCTCACAGGAAGAGCAGGCGATTTGAAGGACAGTCGTGAGGCATTACATGTAATACTCGCGCTAAAGTCGCAACGCTGGCGGTACGTAGAAGGAAGCCAAACGAGCTAAGCAGGAAGAAAGCAGGGGATACGTCATAATGCGCAAGCAAGCGGGTTAGCGTGAACTGCTAACGGCTAACTATTTGCTACTCCATCAAAAATATTCGCCCTTACACACACACGAAAGGTATATGAGGTCTCCAGAGCCATAATTATTGTTCACACGATGTACCACAAAGCGCACTTGTGTGTGTACGCGTGGTAACATTTAGAACACCTAACTACCGTGTCGTGACGGCACTTGTCGACTCATTGGCTATTCATGTGTTACTATTTATAGATGCCCGTGGTCACGGCCCCCATTTAAATAAACACGCGAGAAGCGCGAGCAATTATTACCCTTAGGGCGCCATAAAAATGTTCCAACAGTCAGGAGTCTGCTATTTATGAGAACCGTTGCGTAGTCGAGCCTACCAGCTCAGAAGGCAAGCAATCGGACTTGAATAGCCCAACCGGTTTCGTGCGTATATGCATATTACGGCTCCATTGAGACTGTTGAAACAGCTAAACCCTCCAAAGCCGAGTTAAAAAAGTCGGCTTACATCCGAGGCGATAAAGGACAGCAGATGCAGTTATCATCGTTAGTGACATTGTAAATCGCGTTACTAAAACAATGGCAAACAGGCGTGCGTTAGCATGAAGGAGATTTTATACAAGTTTGAATATAAATTTTTATGCAAAACAATTTTTTCTGAACCTTCTAAAAATCAGGCCTCTTGAATAGCAAAAGAGGGACTTTGCATTGCATGCATGCCTGTATTTTGCATTTCGCCGCCGACCTAGCCACAGACTGACGGTGCGGGGGCGGAGCAGGAGCCCTGTTCTCCCCCGCTGGCAGTTCCAGGAGGGGGAGCGGTCGGGAAACCTCGCCTCGCCGGCGTCACGACCTCTCCGAGTCTGCACACGAAACGAACGGCGCACGATGCTCGGCGAGCCCAGCCGACCGCCGCTCTCGGAACTGTGAGAGCCGACGGCGCGTCACTGAACGTCGGGATCGACCCAGCGCACTTTCTTCATCCGCTGCACACGGACATCAGCCCGGTGCGCCAGACAGCCTTCGGTCTGCCCCTCCAGACCCCCATCATTTCCCCCCGACCGGGCCGAGCATTGCCCGCTGCTGGTATGTGGTAGCGGCTGATTGAGCGTCCCCGCTTCATCGGAATCCTCCTCCGCCCGGCGGCGGTCGACCTTCACGGCCGGACCGTAAAACGGTGACCTCACTGCCGTACCCGGGGGTCAGAGTACCGGTTCGGTGGGTGGCCGACGGACTGCGGACGGTGCGGGGGGTTGCCACTCTCCACACGGCACTCGCTGGCACGCAGCGGGCCCCGGCACCCAGTCTGCTCTGCAGAGCTCCTGCACCGCCCGCGGTCACGGTGTCCCTGTTAGCTGGGAGGACGGGCCCCGGCACCCTGTCTACCCTGCACACCCCGCCGGCCCCGGCTCTCCAGTCCCAGTGTCCTGCTAGCCTGGCAGAAGGATCTCGGCACCCAGTCTACTCTGCAAAGCCCCTGCACAGCCTGCCGGTCCCGTCCGTCTAGCCAGGTGTCCTGTTAGATGGGAGGACGGGCCGGTTCTGCGACACCTGAGCGAGCGTCATTTCAGCGAACGACATTTGAGCGAAGCCTTTTCAGCGATTAGCAATTTAAGCGATTGACTTTTTCAGCGATTGTCAAGTCGGCGAATTCAATCACAGCGATTATCAACTTAAGCGAGGACCAGAATCAGCGAAACCAGATTATGGAGGTCAATGGGGGACCAATTGAGCGAACACAGTTACAGCGAAACCGAACGCGACGGAAATCAATCATTTCTACTTTTCGGGAATTCTTGCCCTTGGAATACCCGCTTGGTATGTGTTATGCTTCAAGCTGCGCGCGGCAAATTAAAAATTTTCTTTTAAGCTTGGAAACCACAAAAATATCTGGCCTCATTCTGCAACTTTGATCTGGAAATGTGGAACGTGAGAGATAGGACGATGGAAGGAATTCCAAGGACCAATAATAAACTCGAGGGATGGCACAGGGGGATCCAGTCTATGTTTCAGGGACCTCACCCAAATATCTGGAAATTCGTACGTTGCTTGGGGCAAGAACAAATTTTACAACACGGGGAACTGATCCAAATTCAAGCGGGGAATTTCGCGAAAAACAGCACAAGCAATATGAATCTCTGAACAAACGTTTGGTCATCATTATTGGCAAACAGCAGGGGGGGGGGGGGGATCGAACCGCTGGAATTTTTAGAAATGTGGCATTAAATTTGGAGCTTAATGTCTGAACTTTGAACGTGACATCCACCATCCAGTTCCGGATAACCATGAAAAGTTCCGGAAACACTCGTTGTACGAACGCTCGCAAAAGAAAAAAAGAAAAAATATACCGTTACGGGGCGACGAAGTGTTTCGCTGAAATGACAGTCGCTCAAACTGTAGTCGACGAAAAAGATGTCGCTGAAACATAGCTTTCGCTAAAATTGATAATCGCTATATTTGATAATCGATCAATTTGATATTCGCTAAGTTGCCAGTCGCTGAAAATGGTTCGCTCAAATGACGTTCGCTCAAATGACACTCGCTAAAGTCGCTCGCACCGGGACGGGCCCCCGGCTCCCTGCCTGCCCTGCAGAGCCCCTGCACCGGTCGCCGGTTCTGTCGTCTCATCCGCCGTGTCCAGCCCCGTGGAAGGGTCCCGGCACCCTGCCTGCTCTGCAGAGCTCCAGTCCTGTCGGTCCATCCAACGTGTCCTCCCAGCTCGGCGGGGCCTGTAACGCCGCCCCGCCGGCGCTAGTCACACGGTACCGCCGGCAATACACCGGTGGTCTGACCACAGCGACAGACCCTCCGACCAGAGACGAACGGAGTGTGATGTGGGTCAGCAGGTCGGCTGACCACCCCTCCCTCACCCGGTCACCGGACAGGAAACTCAGCCGGTAGGGCGGGGCTGCCCACGGCGCCTTCTCCCTGTCCCGCCCATGACAGGGGAGAGAGGAGAGCTGATGGATGCTCTTGCTCAGCGCGCCGCGCCCTGATGCTCCTCCGCTGTATGCTGCTGACGAAATCAAAGACAAATGCTGCTACGTCAACGACCCAACAGATCACCATGAATACATCCTATTTGGTTTGATAGTTTGAACAGCAGGCGGCAGTGTGTGGCTTTACTCATCACTCTCGCCCCACATCCCAGTTTCGAACCTAGTCGACTCAAGAGTCACGGTTGTTGGCAGCAGGACGCACCGGACAAACGGGTCATGCTACTAAGCCGGCACCGATGTCAGCTGCAGAACACAAAATCCACAAAAACTGGCCACCCGACCGCAGGATGTTTGGTATTCATGTGATGAGAAAACGCAACGAGGGATTCTTCTTGGACTCTTCTCACGAAGCGAAAGCAGAAAAATAGGACGACTGCCATTGAAGGCTCCTACAACTAACACAGTTGTGACACTATTCCTCATGTCCTTCATCCAGTAAAGTTTCCATACGGCGGCGTGTACAGGGACCGACCTTGCGCGTCGCCACCAGGCCCGCCAGTCCGCCTCCGCTGGTGACTTCCGCGCGGACGTCGCAGCTCGCCGTGACCGTCCGCCGCGCTCAGTAATCCGCCAGGACCGGCCGTACTTACTACTTAGCCAGACCGAGCGGCAATCCGCCCAGAGCCCGCCGAGGACTTCCGTGTGTGGTCGGCCGGCGGTGAGCGCCCCTCACACGACCCAGACGGAGGAGGCGTCGGCGGCAGCTCAGACACGGTTGTTGATGCGGGGAGAACTGGGTCAAGTGCAAGCTGAGTAAAGTA